TCAATTAAGCACTTCTGTACATTTGCACATTTGGATGTATATCTTGTTTTATCTTACAAAGCATATTTCAAACACTTTAGTTTAATGTCGGCAGATTTCTAATTGCAATTAACACTTGCCACCTGTAGCCGCTGACAATCATAAATTGATGATAATTCTGATGGTGTGATAAAGATTAACCAGCTTCCTACGTCTTTATTATGTTGTTATTGTTATGCTGAAACATTATCTCGTTAAAAAGGCAGAGTTCCCCAAATATCTTATTTTGCTGTATTGTTGCCATAGTTTGCCTTATATCTGTAGCATGTGTGAACAATAAGTGTGATTTGTGGCCCTATTTGGCTTTATCATTTATGCATATCTGGTATTAATCTAGATCAAGTTCGGCATCTTTCATAAATTAGTTTATGAATCACGTTTGCTTGTTCATTCACAATTTATTGAGGCACAAATTGAATACGGATAAATTTGTATAAGATTTATAATGTTTGGATCTTTTTATTGAATTTTGAATTCCCCTTAGTCAGAACCATTTTTACCGTCCGTGATTCAATGCATTTTAATTTAATTTCAGCACAGCTTATTTAAAAACAAATTTCTGCCGCAAACTTGTTTGCAAACAAAAATTGGGTCTTATCATGCATTCTTTTTAATTGGACTTTTGTATCGTTTTTGTTTATATATAGACATATATTATAAGCAGTCTTGCTAATTGGCTTTTTTTCGTTTTTTCAAAATGGATTTTTTCCTTGCCAATTTGGAGATGTGGGGAAAGCGGAAAGTGATCAATTCTGTGTGGTTGATGATTTCAAAATTGAATTTAATTATTATTCATGAATTGCAAATAACTCAGATAATCTTGGTATTATAGAGCAAAAAATAATCCAGAAATTATCATTCATTCCATTTGTGGCCATTTAAATATCATCGATAAAATACATCCGAAAACGAGTCTGCTCAATTACCATAAAAAAGCAGTAGCATTGTGATGTTTTCATCTCTGTTCCACCAATAGCTCCACAAAACCAAATAAAACAAATTTCAAACAAAGCATTTAAAATTCGCTTTCCCATAAGACATTTTACATATTTATTATTTAGCAATTAATAAAAAAATGTCGTATATTGTATATTGTCGTTAGTAATTGAAAATTTTTGCGATACTGTTTGCTTTTCATGAAAATAAATTCACAGCTCTGAATGAATTAGAATCGCCATCAATTTATAAATAAATTCAATATCCAAATGTGGTAATTAAAATTAGGCGATTTTATTAATGAAGCAAAGCTTAAATTTTGCTTATTTATGAGTTCTCATCATAAATAATATTTATAATAGAGGACTGCTATAAAATCTAAAGGATATTCTTTGAGAAGATAACTCTTAAGCAAATTAAGATTGTATTTTGATGATTAGAATTTGCTCCCATTTTTCAGTCACAAATCAATCGAGATTGTCAAGCAACTTATTTTCAAAAACTTTAACATTTTTGAGCGTTGGTGAGTTAAACAAATAACAAGCTCATAAGTATTCCATTTAAGGTTCTACTTCAAATGTCTATTTGGTTAAGTTAGATAAGAATTTACTTAAAAAGAATTGTTGAAGCTTCAATAATGGAAAGCATTTTAAATTATTTTCTTATGTGTCAGTCACAAAATTCCATCGAACTTTTGTCATTACCAATTTGATTACCTAACTGCAAGAATTGCGGTACTCGACAATATTGTTCAACTACAGCTAAAAATAACACAAAGTATTCAGCTCATATTTCGCTCAAAAGGCCAGACAGCAGCGAAAGCAATTTGCTTAAGCAGCAAACCCAACCAAAACAAAAATATTAGCCAACAAATAATGACAATAGTAATGAGTGAGGAATGCTTAAGAGACAGAGAGTCTAAGCGGCTTTTGAATACCCATTAAACAGCAATACCTAAATTTAGAATATTAGCTAGCTCTATTGAAATACGCATAAAAAAGTGAATTTTGTATATAGTAAAAGGAGTACATTTTCAACTGCCGTCAAATCAAATTTGAATTTTTAGAAGTGCGATATTTATTTTGGCTCTAATTGTTTATTTTATTAATTTATTTTTGATGACCTATTTTTCTATTTTAAAAATATATTTTTCACTAGCTAGAAGTGATGTGTTTTTTCTTTTTTTTACTCTTTGCTCTGCATATGAAATAACCTAAGCTGCGAAAGATATATTTATATTTATGTTCTATTTTTGAGCTCCGGGGAGGTGCACAACTCTAGCTCGGAGCCTGCTTACTTAGAAGAAAACAGAGTGTATACGCTTATAAATCATATATGAACAATTAATAAGCCAGCCATTAGCTGATTAGAGCAATAACTTGGCCAACTTCTGTTGCCTTTTTTGTGTTAAAAAGGGGCTGGTCAAAATTCAGGGCATAGCTAGCAGCTCATGCTGCTCAAGCAAAAACGATTAATACTTCGTGAACTTCATTAGTGAGGCGTTGAAGAAACAAATAGTCTAAAAATACACATGTGAATGGATGAGAATGTGAATACGGTTATGAATATGAATACGAATATGAATATGAATGCGAATATGATGGATCGCACGGTGGGAATTATGTATTAAAACTCCATAATTCATAATCATTGTGCGAACAACAATTATATCGTGGCTCAGCTGTCAATAACTGTCTGCAGCTCTAACGGCACACAAACAAGCCAACGCTAATGACAGCTGCCTGTTTTCTGTTGGATCTTGGCTTTTAGCTTGTCCGCCCCCTGTGAGGCTGCCCCGGCAATCGATCTGTTAATCCACGGCACGTGTAAGCTCTTAAGATCGGCTGCGGCCTAAAATAAGACTCGACCGTAAGATCGTAACAAAAATTAAACACGCAAATAATACAAATACCACAACAATAAATAAAAAATAATAAAAAATTAGCAACAAACATTCAAGCCGCAAATTAACTGTACTTTGGCTTTGTCCACATTGCACGGGCCCAGACCAAGTTTGTTGGGCGACTCAAGTGATTTGACCCATATTGTGTGTCTGGCTCTTTCTATAAATATACAAATGTGGCCTACAAAATGGTAGCTAGTCAACTGACGCTGAGTAATGAACAAATCAAGTTTAACAATGCTTTAAGATTGAGTCTACAAAATGTATGCAGCCTTCAATCACTGTTGACTATCTTTTGGTACACTCGAAACGTATAAAAAGAATGTAATTTACTTGAAAACAAATGAGTTGAGAGTTTGTGGTCTACCGAGAGTTTTGAACTGCATTGGGTCTGAAGTAGCTTAAGACTTATTTAGATGGGAGAACATGATTATAAATTGTAAGTCTCTAGTTGTAGCTAGAACTAGCTATACTCAATACTGTAATCCTTCTGCCTTTTACAAGCTTTTGCACAACAAAATGATAACCTTTTAATCCATTTTGAATAGACAAATTTAAAACAAAATACATATTGTTTAATTTAATAAGGTATCTAACTTCTGGGACTAACAGATTACAAAAGTTGAATAATAATTGAGAGAGCAGCAATAAAAGAAAAAACAGGCTTCAAATGTGGTTTCCCTAAATTTGTAGTTAGGAGTGAAAATACTTACAAACTTTTATACCGCAGGGCATCATTGAATATCTGTTTGGCTTTCTGCTGTTGCAATGCTTTGTGTTTATTTATTGTATTAATTCTTTTGTTTATTGTGGCCAGTTTTGAATGCCTTTAGGTCATTTTGCGATGAAGCTATTTTTGGGTAACAGCTTTTGGTGACTTAGCTAAAGATTATCATTGTGTGAAAGGAGAGAGATAGTTTGCCATCGCAAATAAATAATATTGTATATGTATTTAATTTGTCAGTTAACCTGAAATCTTTTCTACACCTTTCCACTCATTCATTTGTGGTTTGATAAACCGCTTTTGGGCAGCAAGAAGCTTTCTGTCAATTCATTCTCTTCCTTTTGTTACCCCTGGCAACATTTTACTTTGGTAATTGCCGTTAAATTTATAACAGATTTTCAATTTGTAACAGATTTCGATTAGATGCGTTTGTTAAGGTTCCACTGTATTTCACACATACATATATAATATTGTTGCTGGCACTTTCGAAGAGATTTATTCGTTTTATAAATTTGCCATACTCCTACCCGTGCTTATTATAATATTGTAAGCCACTTATAAAATACGTGCCAGCTTTTAAAATAATATTCCCCAAATAACAAAATAAAAGTGAAGGTCAAAAGTATTGTAAACGCCGTAACTGGTTTATTTATAGCCCCCTTTGTTTTTGAGTTTGTCCAACCGATAAAAAATATATGTATATATATGAAAAAAAAAAAACATAACACAGTCTTTGTGCTTTCCTTTTAATATATTTCTGTTGTCTTCGTCTTAGCAACCAATTTATTGGTCTAAAATGGATTAGTTGATTTATGCCCAATTTATATGCAAATTTTCTAAAATGTTGACGTTTAATTTTAAACCACCTTTAAATTGTTGCCGTGCTAAAAATAGCAAAATGTTTGTGTTATTTACGAAAGACAAGTGTTTTTTATATGCAAATTTCAATACATTGTTGCGTCTCTCTCCTTTGCATTTGAGAACAGCGTATAAATATTTGTGAAATGCCAAAAATAAAAAGCATATCGATATAAAGAACAAATACAAGTGCAATAATATGTGCAGCCAAAGTCAACAAATTCGACAAACAAAAGTTGTTAATAATTAAAAGTACAATTATGTTTGATCAACCGAATAATAACATGAAACTCGTGTTGAGGCTTAACAGCCAAACAATTAAATATAATTTAAACAATTTTATCAAATGAACAGATGTGCAATAAATTAATGCGCCTTATTGTTTTGCAGGCAGCGTCTGAAATAAAAAAAAAAACAAAAAAAAAGGTAAAACAAAAATGAAGCAGCTGAAATAAAAGTGCAAGAAACCAAAAAAAAAATAAAAATAATAAAATAATAATAATAATATTAATACGAAAATCAAAAATTTTCATAAATAATGAGATCGAGTTCAATACTAAAGTGTTACGTTTTGACCAAGCACGAAATCAAATGAAATCAACTCGGAAATACGACATCAGAACAGGATTAACAGGAAGAGCAGCAACTGCAATTGCCTCAGCAACTGCAACACATCGCAGACAATTCGAGGCGACGAGCTGTCGCAGAATGTCCAGCAACATTGTGCGGCAGCCACAGAGTCAACCACAACAACAACAAGTGCACGAGGTGCTTCTGCTGTTGCTGCTGCTGCTGTTCCTGGTGCCCATTCAGAGAGCAGGACCTGCGCCCGCCTACGCCTGGTTCTATGATGTGGACAGCGATGCAGGCGTGGCTAGCATCCGTACCATTACGGATGTGCACAGTTTCACGGTGCCCGAGACGAGAAATGCCCATAAATCGCAGCGTACACAGCTGGTGCAACAATTTCCCAGCACCAGCAATGACCACAATCATCCTCAACTCCATCGAGATGCACTTAGGGTGCGTCGTCGGCAGCTGGTCTTTGTGGCACTGCTACCCTCGGTGGAATCGGACAACAAGAACGACTGCATCATGCCCAAAGTGCTGCCAGTGCTGGAGCTGGGTATTGCCCATGTGCAGCGCATGGGCTTTGTGGGTGGCGTTCAGATTGATATTACGCTGATCGCGCGGGATACGTTCTGCTCCTCCACATACGGGCCACTTGGCTTCTTTGAGATCTACACCCAGTGGCCGGAGATGAACGCCATCTTTGGCCTACCCTGCGAGTATGTTTTGGCGCCCATCTCCCGCTATGCCGATGTCTGGCAGATTCCATTGCTCACGACTGGCGGCAATGCCGGTGAGTTCAGCAAGAAGGCGGAGAGCTATTCAACGCTGACACGCCTCAAGGGCGCTCAGGTCAACAATCTGGGCAACATGGTTCGCGCCCTGCTGAACACCTACAATTGGACGCGCACCGCCTTGATCTATCAGAATGAGAATGCCAAGATCAAGGGCAACTCTGTCTGCTTTCTATGTCTGGCTGCCATACACGCCACCATCGAAAGGGAATCGGTTTACCAGCTGGGCTTCGATACGGCACACTGGACCAAGGCGTATACCATACGACTGCTCCGGAATGTGGCCATGCGAACAAGAAGTAAGTGGATGAGAACAGCCTTTGGGTTGTGGTTCAATTTTTAATAAAATTTATGATATATTTTATTATTTAGCAGGAGTTCACAGTGCAATCATAAAAGACTTGTGTTCTATCTGGGTTTTTTGTGTTATTGGAAACTCTCAACTCTTTCTAGAATTAATACTTATGATATTTAAAAGAAAGAAAGAACTTCACAAAATAATTATCTAATAATTGATCTTGTTGTTGTTTCTATTGAACATTTTCAAATTGTCATGGTTTGTCGTATATGTTTTTTGAATGAGAGCAAGATTTTACCCACACAAGCATTGTCTAAAATTTAACTACATGTTATATACAAAATTCATAATATACGAAAAAATGTCACTTTAATCTTCTTGTTCGCATCTGCATTTAGTCATACTACTTATTGGCCTTCGTTCACTGTCGTGGATTCTATGCGAAAAGAGCCTTGTGCGGCTGATAAAATTGCGCTTTCATGTCGAATCGGGAATACCCTGAACCGTATTGCCCCCATTTATTTAAATTGAATGCAATTGCGTTAATTAGTTGCATTTGTGTAACCAAGAGCCAACTATAGAAACCGCATAGTGCGTTAGTCAGAATGCCTCACTAAAAAATGCCCTTTACCAAAGACTAAAGAGATATAGTGACAGAGATGTAGGCATTTCTCTTCACTTCCTTTTCAATAAATATTGTTTATTTAGTACATTTTCAAATAATATTTTCAAATTTGTATTTTATAGTTGTAGTAATAATTCGGGAGTATTTTTATTTAATTGTTTTGCTTGTATTTTCTGTTCATTTTTATTACACTTTGCTTTCCCTTATGTTATTATTAATACGAAACATAATGAAATTTCAATGAAATTTGTATGCTGCCTGACAGATAACCAATTTATCCGATCTCGCAAGCAAAATTTTATTAATAACGAATATCAATTAATTGCAATTAAGCATCAAACAGTTGAAGACAATTAAAGGAACTTAATGAGCTGTCTTTTGAAATTATTTGAATATGCAATTGCATAACACAATTTTTGAATTACAATTGAATTTAAATTATTTGCAATTAGCAAAGTAAACAATGCAAATTGATATCCAGACTTGTTGACATGGGTCTATGCATATTGATTATTAATAGGCGCTATAAATATATAACTATAAATAGAAAAGGGTATAAAAACAATAGCTGCAATGAGAATGGCTTTTTAATTACGCTTCCAAAAATTACAAAACCTATTAATGGGTGCCAAACTGAACCATTAAACATCCAAAAATATCAAAAGCTGCGTAAATGGATTATTGTTCCCTCGTACGAGTAATCAAGCGATTACAAAAGCCTAACTAACGTCCAAATTCGAAGCTTAAAATTAAGATTCACCAGGCAAACTGAATGTGTCACATTTTGATTATTCTCCCTATTAATGTGCGCATTTAAATACCATTAGAAATGTATAATTGCGATCTCCCAGTTGGGAAGATTATTACATTTTAATGTATTCACTTAATCATATTTATGGCTTAATGGGCAATCAGAAGAAATATACCCGAAACCAACAAAAGAATATATTGTACTGTGGAGAAAAGCTAAATATATCTTTTGAGTTCAAGGACAGTCCAGGTAAAGAAATTTAATCTTTTTAAGATTACTTATTGATTCAATTTGAAAATTATTACCCATATTTCAACTTATGTTTATAATTGCATTGAAATCATTTAATAACATTTGTATCACTTATTGTTTGGTGACCATTTTAATAACTAAAATATATATATAAAAGTTATTGTATTATTATTATATTTAAAGCATTCAATATTTAAATGAAGATCCCCTTCTTGATTTGACCCACGTTATGAACTTTTAATTTACAGCAAGCTAAAAAAAAATTGATTTATATTCAAAATGATAAAGTATGTTATATATATACAAATGCAGTTGATTAAAAATTATGATGTGCTAATTACTCGAATATTAATATTAACAATGCAATCTGAAAATACAAAGTCTGAATATACATAAGCTAAGTGTATGCCATAAATAAATAAAAATTGACAAATTAATGAGCACCGCAATGAGTCCAATATTTACGATATAATTTATTGTTAGCTGACTCATGCGATTATCAGAACATGTTTGACCTTTCAACTTTACACAAATATTGTAAGCAGACTTGCAAAAAACTAATTTATGACTCAATTTAGACATAGTATATACATAAAATGTACACCAGCCAAAACAATATACAGTTTGTGTAATACTTTCTTATGTATAATCAACACACATGCTTCTCACATTTACATATTTTACTACTACTGTGCTACATGTTTTTGCATAATTTGCTTTTGGCAGCTCTGTACAATCAAATTAAATCAGACTTTTGCTCTAAACTTGACATTGATAGCTTGAAGCATTGGCAAATATTCGACCGTATGATTCCCTGTAGCTTAAAGACAGAGGATACTCGAAAACACAGGTAGAATTTAATCACAAGGACCATATTTTTCGGCTCAAATGTATTTCTAAAATACATACTTACTTTAGTTGTTCTACATTATGTATTATATTACCACGTTTCTTTGCTGTCGTTTTTTTCAGGGTATACAAAAAGGCTTGGGTTTGTCGTAGGTTTGCCAAATTGACTGGCTTTTAAATAATTAAAACAATTGTCAGTCAACAAAAGGCAACTGAAAAAGGTGCCATTGCTCATTGCAAGGCACTGACAAAATTGCAAAAGCCAATTATCACAGATTGTTTTGTTTCTTATGCTTTTTCAATTGCACATAACAATGAACAGCACAAGTCAGTCATAACTGATATAATATTTGTGAAGTAACAAATTCAAATCTGCATTTTGCATTGCAACAATGTTAAACAAATAGTTTAGCAAAAGAGTAAACACGATTGTGTCAATTCTCAAATTGAAAATGTCAATATTTAAATATGTTGTCCACATTAGCATTTTGATAAATTTGTGGCACGCTGTGGGATATACCTTCAATAATAGATTCTGCAAACTGTCTGCCAGGTATAATTTATATTTGTGCACATTGCTGTAAATTCAAAAAAAAAAAAAAATGGAAATATAAATTTATGCTATTTGAAAATGTATAAATTAATTAATTTCAATTACAAAATAAATGATAAGAGGCACATTTGTCAATTGCTTAGAGCATTGCAATACATCAAGTGGAAAAGCCAATAAAAATCACAATTTTTACTATCATAATTTAACCAGTGGAAAGGAGTTTTTTATTCATTTGATTTAATTTATTTGTTAGAAATTTAATTTGCTTAAAATTACGAAGAATTTTTAAGTTTAAAATGTAAATGTGAATATCTGAGGGTATTGAGATGTAAAGTGGTTCACCAATCCTTGCTAAAGATTGGGGAAAATCAGAAAGCCAAATCAGAAAAACCCCAGAGTATTAATAGGCTTATTCGATTTTTAGATGATTATTCCTTTACCATTGAGTGTCGCACTTTTATATTTTCTATACTAGGATAATATCCACAAGTGCTACTGTCAAGTCAAGACTCACCATTTTCTATAAACTACTTCAGAATGTACTTCATGCCCATTGAGTCAGATCAACTACAAACATACAACAAACGCTACCAAATTATTTGCTGACGTCAAAGCAACTGACAAAAAACAAAAATCAAATCGAACAAAAAAGAACCTAACTACATTAATAACAAAGTGTGCACATTTAAAATAAATTAATACATTTTTAATGACAAGAGTCCAGCGGCTTGATGCTGGAGGGCTGCTTCTATTTTTAATTGTAAGCCAAACCAGACAATGTGGACAAAGAGTAACTCCGCAAATGGTGTATTGAAGCTCTTTAACTGAAATTCGCAATTTGTTGTGCTCATTTTTTGTGTGTTTTTATATTTTTTCTTATTTATTTCTTTCATTTTTTTTTTTGTTGTTTATTTTGCAGTTGTCATTATGTGCGCCGATCCGCAGTCCATACGTCAAATTATGCTGACAGCCGAGGAGTTGAATATGATCGATAGCGGTGAATATGTTTTCATCAATATTGAATTATTTTCGCGGTGAGTACTCTAACTACACAAGTACAAAATCAATATATAAATTACTCAGCCAAACCAAGTGGGGAGCAACACTAACACAAACTATAACAATAATAGCAACAACGACAACAATCATACACAAAGTGATCATTTATAGCAATCGCTACAGTTTGTGGCCTTTCACTTTGGCAAACACGCGCACTTTGAATATTCTTTTCAAAGTGCGCAAAATACATATTAACCAAGGTTATAAAAAAATATTATCAAATTTACCAACAAAAATAGCTTTGAGCGACTCCAAAATGCTGACCACTGAGCAATTAATATCTATTTTTAAAACGAGGAAATTCCAATTTTTGGAAACATGTCTGACTTCAGCATTATTAACTCTAATGCCAAACAAAACAAAAAAAAAAAAACAAAATACAAATATCAGAGCTGCAAATTCTATGCTGTCTCCCCGCCCTTCCTCACTCTTATTGATAGCTGCTGTGTAATTACGATGATGTCTTCAATTCGCCGAGTCATTGCTTCCTCGCACCCACATACTATTAGTTCTGCTTTTGGATACATTTGTGCCCAGATGTTAAGTTACTAACTTAGCGATTTGAGATTAATTAATCAAAATTAGTAAGCATACACACATATATTTGTATATATATTGATTTAATAATTATTGAAATATTCGTTGACAGTGCTATAAGCTTAAGTTCTAGTCTGGTTCGTTAAATAGATTATATTAATGATATGTAGACATTAAATGTTGATGATTAGAATTTCAAGATTAGTTTTAATCATTTTTCTATTATAATTCATATTAGATAAATTAAATTAGATATTCATTTAGTTTGCAAAAGTTAAAAGCATTTAGTTTAATTTTAAATTGTCTGCCAGTAGCAATTGTTTTTTTTTTAAGTTTGAGTAGATTGGTTCTAGATTTGAATAACAATTGTGCATAAGTGGCATATGTCTGAAGCCGGTAAAGTTGCTGGATAGTTCTTGTGATTGCATCAAAACTTAATTTATTCTAGCGACACTTTGATTCATTGTTTTTATAAGGAAGTAAATATATTTCCCTTAGATCAATTATTCATGTCAATACATATAATCTGTTCAAAAGAGTGCATCTTTTTAAAGTATCACCAAAGACTGTAGACAAAAAATGATCAAATATTTTTGATATCATAATAATAATATTAACCATAGATTAAATTAAAAAGACCATTAAATAATCCAAGTATATCAGTATCAGAGAGCCATTTTATTGAATCACATCATAACTATGTATATTATGATATAGGCACCTACGAAACAAAGAAAGGGCAGCGACACCAAGTTTCACACAATACAAATATCTCCGAAGCAGCTGTTATAAAAACCGACTGAAGTAAACAACAATAACAATACTTAAGTAACAATGGAGAAGAATAGACTTCGAATACTCACCGGTCAATGAGAAGAAAGCCTCAAAGCATAGCTAAAATAATATGTATTATTCTTCAGAAATATGTTAGGAGTGAAGGAGAGCTATCAGCTAGACTCAGTTGAAGACACACTATATCAATTAAAAAATTAACTTCATGTTAGAAAAACCCGGGCCTTCAAAAAACAAGATCACTAAACAAAATAATACTAAATAGTCAATAAATGTATTACACCTTTTTTCTGGAATTACTTTCCTGAATAGTTTTGCAGTTTTGTAGCCCAATGCAATCAGTGCAATTATGGGGCCAATGAGGCGTACTACATTTAACTAAATATCAGTTGTAAATCATTGAAATAATGTGCTATACGTAAATAGTTTTCGAAATGGGTTACACAAATAGCAAATAATTATTTTCAAATAATGGACTGAGAGAGAGAGAGAGAGAGAGAGTGAAAAATAACGAACTAGAAGGGCTGATGATTGGTGTTGGCTCTCGCTGAGAGCGAATAAGTATTATTGCACTTGCATGTCAATGCAGTCTAATCTGTAACCTCTGTGAACTTGTAATCAATGTAAAATAATTCGTATGAATATATAAATCTATGTGTATTTGTGCATTCACTAATGCATTTCCTGATATCAATTCAAAGTTATATGTAATCCTCCTGAGCAGCGAGAAAATAGATTTAATTAATGGTTAGCCGAAGACGATAAACAGTTGTTGTACTTTGAACGGAAATAAATTCATTCAGAAGCAATCAATTAAAAAGTATAATTAGAAAAATCGATTAGTGTGTTTTCGATTTGTATTTATATAATTATTCAATATTTATTTAAAGTAAATTTAGCTAATTTTATATTACAAACTAGCTGTTAACTTAAAGGCAACACCTGAGGTCGGTTAATAATAGATGATATACGTTAAGCAATTGCATAAGTGAATTAATAAATGCAGTATTATTGCTATAGAAGCAATTTACTTTTATATACAAGTATTTTCTCTATATATATATTTATCTATATGAGTATTAAGATCCACATCGTCAAGGGTAATCAGTAAGGTATCAAGGCTAATCACCATTCAAATATACAACATCTTAGCCATTTTAGTGTTCAATCTCACAATTCAGAAACATATCCATGTTAAATCTTGCACAGACTACAATATGCATTCTTGAGCAGAGTATAAACTGTTTACTATCCATAATCGATTTGCTCAAAGCTTCACTTGCTGAGTTGGCAGCAAACACAGAAAATCTGACATTGAGTTGGCATCACAAACAAACTGCAACTGATAACATCAAGTACATGCACTTACACTGTGTACTAGTGTACTATGCACATCCAACTAGCTCACTTCGACGTCAATAGCAGCATCTACACTTAAAACAATTGAGAATGTAATAGTTTTAAGAGATTTCTTATGCAGTTTTCCTATATGTGATCACAAAAGAATATTTTTTTAAATAGTATGCGATGCAAGAAAGGATTAGAAGAGAAGCTAATTAAAATGCAAGTTTGTTTTGCTATAAAATATGAATGTATATATTTGCTTATTTATTTTCTAACATTTGTATATTAATTTACAAAATTATAACTTTTAACTTGCAAATAAGTGTCTTATTGGTGAGTACTAACGTAGGCCTTAGACTCCATGATTTTATATATACATATATAAACGCTATTAAACAAGATCCGATTAAAGTGGCCTCCACGTCCTAAGAATTTTTCATCCAGTATCTATTATGTTATTAAAACTACTTTGGTTTTATAAAGAAATGACATAATGCCATTTGCTCAGTGTACGCTATCGTTTATTGACACAATTTAGCTGAGAGGTGTAATCGCATAGACAAAGACGGAGACATATGCCAGCTACAACTATGAATCGATTTGCATTTTGCAATTTGCATTTCTATTTATAAACAATTTATGACGCATATCAGACGAAAAAGCTAGGATTAAACACAAATTCAATTGATAAGCCAAGAGTATAAGCTGATAACTGATGCGAAGCTCGAATTAAGTACATTCACACACACACACACACACACACACATACACATGCATCTTTAAATGTGCATCACCCTTTTTTTTGCAGTGTGCCGTATATGACATCTCTGCCTTGGTATGATAAGAACGATACTGATTTCAACAACGAACGCGCAAAGAAGGCCTACACAGCGATGCTAACCGTGACACCCAAGCAGCCAAATGACGATGCCTACACGAAGGTTTCCAACGAGGTGAGTTCCGACAACGGAAGCTGCACGCCCCCACTTTGCATCGCAATGAAATTGAAGTGCCCGGAAAAAGCGTATTTTGCGACAGTTCTTTTCGGTCATTTTCTGTTGGAGGTTTCTCTTTATTTTTTATAGACATGCTAGAGATATTTTGATATCTGTCATGAAGTTTATGACGTATTAAAGAATCCTTACTAAAATATATATTCTTTATTAGCTAGTTATGCTAGTTAAGATATCCCAATTTCCTCTAAATTTGGTCCAGTACTATTTATATATACCATATATCACAATCTGTCGAAAGATGAGTTTCTGAATGAGAAACTTTTTTATTTGTATTTTTTTAATGACATTATTGAAAAGCATGATAAAATATTCGTAATAAACTTACCAGCTACGACTTTTATTATGCTTCGAATATTAGCACTACTGTATTCATTGGGACTGAGCCAAATTTAGATCCAACTCTCTAGTGAAGAATTTGATATCCATATTTGAATAAACTCAGCAGTTACGAGTTTTATTAAGCCCCCAAAATTGGGACTACTACATCAATAGAAACAATCGGTCAGTTTTTTTAAAGCTGATGGACTCCGATCTGCAAGGGTATTTAATCTTTGACTTACCTTTGATAGCCATTGCTTCTTGTTTTCTTTCACTTCTCTTGTGATTTTGTGTTGGTCGACTTATGCATTCTCAATGCCCGGGCACGTGCCTGATGCAAGTTTATTTTGCATACGTGTCCATATATGTATATATATGCTTATGCACAGACACACCAGCCTGCAAGATACTTTTGCCTCTGCCAGCCGGTAATGATATTTTTGTAATCACGCTTGCAAATTATAATGATGCCAACGCAAACAAACAAGCAGAAGTTCTGTAGCCAAGAGTGCTCCACTGCTACTACTGTGTTACATGTCCCAAATGCATATATGCAAATAGGGATACACATCGGGTTCAATTGAAGCACCCTATAAATAATGATGTTATTGAGTGAGGAGTTGGTAAACCAATTTGCAAGCGAGTAGGTTTCTCAGTATTGTTTTTTCCATAAAAAGTCGAAATAAACCTTTTAAGATTGAGTTTATTTTTTCCCCCGTTATATTTAATTGACATCTTTTATAATCCCATTCATTTCTTGGGCCCAGGGTATGGCAAGAAGACAACCCCAACACCTAAAAGTGTTTGCTTTGGCCAACTTTTGAGTGGCACTTGAAGTAAACCAAACAAACTAATGGAACAAGTGATTTATGTTATCCATTTTGCAGTTGTCCACATTTTGTTTGAACTATTGTCAGACTGATAAGAAACAAATTTAAGTCCAAACTTGTATTTCTAAAAAGTTGCGCTTGAAAGCTATTCTAAAGGCGACTCATTAGTCAAAACACATTGCGTTCTATGCTTAGTGCCAAAAGCCTACAACAGTGTATATCTTTCAATCCAGCGAATTGTTGAACAATTTTCAGAAAACTAGCAATTTGGTCAAGTAAAGATCTAAGATGTCCAAGACGTCACTTGTTCATTCCACAATTACGAATTTAGTTTTACATAATTTATATATTTATATTTATTTATTGTTATACGTAAAACCAAATTCTCTTAATTTGAATCATGAATATTGTAAAGAAAAATAATGCTAGGCCTCACAAAAATTTGATCGATTCTATTTTATTTTGCATTATTTATTAATTGAACCGAAATGTTTTTTAAGTAAATCCACTTTAATTCAGTCCTGAAAGTGTTAAAAGTCCTAAATCCTATTTGATTATATCGACTTAAGACTCGTGTTAATATTATTATTTTTATTTTATTTAATACAGTCGCTGTAAGCCAAGTATTTAAATTCTATAAATTCTTAAATTTGTCAGTGATCTGGCTTTAACTAAAAAAAAAACATAAAATATTCGAGCACTTGGCCAAGAGGCTTGTCGTTTGTCATGTCCTTGATATGGATGACTTACTCTGCTTGAGAATACATTTTCAAAGACTGTCGCTGTCGCAACTCAAAATTCACTGTGCAACAGCAACTGCAATAGCAAATATGCGCTATCCGCTGGCAATGGAAATGTCCTTGGTTAAAGCCGCCCAGTTGTCTCGTTGGGATGTTGGGTTAGAAGTGGTGGATATGCCACACGCACAACTTGGAAATGTGCGGCAGACAATAATTTCCGAAGGGTTGTTGCCACAAACCTGTCGTTGCTGTTGTCATTGATGTTGACGTTTGACTGTGCCTCAGCGATTTGCCAGTAGCGTCAATGTAATTGAATTTCACGGCTGCAAACAAGCAATTAAAGCTGGCACATAGTAGTTAAGAGAAAAAGAAACATCTGACTGCTGGCTGTAATTAATGTACTCTGAAATCTACTTGCAGATCAAAGATATCGCTTCGGCCAAATATAATTATACGTTTAGCGAGAATGAACCAATTTCTGCATTCGTGACGTCCTTTTTTGATGGTGTCCTGCTCTATGCCAATGCGCTTAATGAGAGCATCCGAGAGGATCCGAGCATGCTGACCAGACCCATCAATGGCACCGATATGGTCCGTCGCATGTGGAATCGCAGCTTTACTGGGATTACTGGGAATGTGACTATCGATTCGAATGGGGATCGCATCTCGGCATATTCGCTGCTGGACATGAATCCCAACACTGGCCGATTTGAGATTGTCGCCCACTTTCTGCACAATCGATTGGAGTTTGAGTCCGAGAAGGAAATACATTGGGCTGGGGGACGTGAAATTGCGCCACCCGATCGTCCCATCTGTGGATACGATGGATCACTGTGCCCGGACAATTGTAAGCAATCGCAAGTAGAGAAATCAAATTGAGAGATCTATAATTGAATGATAGAGTTAAATTGAAATGAAGGTCCTAATTACCCCTAATAAAAATGACAACTATTCCCTCAGGAATAAAATCAGTGGAGATAGTTAAGCGATTCTTCCGATTCCAAAAGAAAAATGGTTAACAAATTGATTGAGTCAAATATGAAATTATTGAGTTTTGCAAGACTTAAGAAAAACCACAGTAGTTTTCAGAATAAAGCTGAGTGTTTCCAAATACAAGGATAGTAATTAGGATTTTCATAGATTTCAAAGTGTACTCTGAAGCTAATAATGTAATTTTTCAATATAGCACTGCCTGGCTATGCCATACTGTCGATAGTTCTTGGCACAATGGTGATCGTGATGGCCGTGTGCTTCTTCTTCGGATATCGCCATTATATTGCCGAGGCGGAGATCAATTCGATGAGCTGGAAGGTATCGCTGGAGGATGTTATGTTCCGCGATGGCACCGATCATTTAATGCGTGGCTCGTTTCATTCGCTGGTCAAACAGAGCTCCCAGCTGACCCTCATGTCCGAGGACATGGTATCCATCAATGGCGATCGCCAGATCTTCATACCCGTGGGCATGTACAAGAAGAGCAAGGTGGCCATCAAGCCCATCGAGCTGGACAATGTGCAGGGCGTGCTGTCGCGCAATCTGATGTTGGAGCTGAAGCGCATGAAGGATTTGCAGCATGATCACTTGGTTAAGTTCTATGGCGCCTGTCTGGATCAGCGTCGCAGTTTCCTACTCACCGAGTACTGTCCCAAGGGCTCGCTGCAGGACATACTGGAGAACGAACAGTTCCAGCTGGACTGGATGTTCAAGCTGTCGCTGATGCATGACATTGTCCGTGGCATGCAGTTTATTCACAGTTCTGACATTCGCTCCCACGGTAATCTCAAGTCCTCCAACTGTGTGGTCGACTCACGCTTCGTTCTCAAAATCACCGACTTTGGACTACACAGTTTGCGACGCACTCATCATGACATCGAGAGCGATATTGAGAACTTCAATAGTCATGCCTACTGGAAGAGTAAGTTTAAAATATTACACTTACAAAAGAGTATATGCCTCAGAATTCACAAAATCACCAAGAACAGAAAATGAATTTCTTTTAAAAATGTTTTTTCTTAAATTTGGGAAATTTCTGAAAAGCCATGAAATTATTTTCACTAAACTCTTGGCCATATTTTATTAGACTCCTCATAATTTGTAACCCTGTCTGCTTTCAGAACGCCTGTGGACAGCGCCAGAGTTATTGCGGCTGGAGCATCAGCGTGCACCCGAAGGCACCCAGAAGGGCGATGTGTATTCATTTGGCATTATTGTGCACGAGATAACCACACGACAAGGACCCTTTTATTTGGGCAGATGTGCGCTCGAGAAAACGCCTCAAGGTAAGAAATAAAATAAGTAAGATTTGTAGCCATTTAAAATGTGTAAACATGAATTAAAAACAAAAACACAAAAAATTATCGCCTGAATTCGTAAATATATATTATTTTTCATTACAAACGTGTGTCAGGGAAATTTACAATCTTATCACAGAGAGTTGAAAGCGAAACGAGTTGACGAAAACTGTAAATTACACACGAATAGATCTTTGAGTAAAGGGCACATCCAAACTCTCCGTATCGGAGGCACAGCCACAGCTGCGAAGCAGCCAGCTCCAACATCCATTTCTGGCATTCTGTCGCACCTTAGTCGCCCTATTCAATTCAATAGCTGGTGGAGCTGATGATCTGCTGCGTCTACTTGGCTGCTCCCAGGGCTGATGTTCCAATTTCCATAGCCACTGAATGCGTGAATTATCCCAGTGACTTCTGCAAGACCCATGCTTGCAGAACAACTTTTCGCAATCACAGTTCCCAAATATAATCTGAGCATCTGTGGGTTCTAAGACATCATTCAAGGTTAATCCTGATAATCGAACTGACCTCCACTAACCTTTCGGACAAAATCTGTCGGTGTGAATATTACTAGCGCTCTTTGCATTGTGCTTCAATAAGTTTAATATCTTGATTTCGGCCTGGTTTTGACGATGCTCGCTGCAAAAACTGAGGAGCATACAATTTCTGGCATTAGACTGCCACAGTCCAACGTTTCCATTATTAGACTTCAACTGCCGCTTGAACGAATCCCTGCTCATCATAAACTGCTCACATGAGAGTATGAAATGTTTCGAATTTGAGTAAATCATGTGAGTTTGTTAGGCTGTTCGCTAATGTATCAGTGTGGTGTAGTTATGGGGCCCATAACTTAAGGCTGAATATTTTGTGCTTCTCATTGCTGCTGGGAAGCAACTTAAAATCAATAAATGACAATTTTCCTAAAAGTTCGATTGAAATATAAAGCACAGTGCTCTATTTGCATTTCCCTTGCAGAGATCGTCGAGCTGGTTAAGAGCCACAAGCCGAGCCAGAACAAACCCTTCCGCCCAGAACTGGAGCCGGGCGGTGATATCAAGGCGGATGTCATTGGCATCATAAGGCGCTGCTGGGCTGAAGATCCTTTGGAGCGACCCGACTTTAATACGCTCAAGTGCATGATACGCAAATTCAACAAGTAAGTTCTTAGTTAACCAGCTACACTCAGAAAAAAAACATTCAGCAATTTAGATAAATAAATGTTGAATATCTTTGTTAATCCCAAATCCCATATATTCCAATCTTTTGCGCCTACAGAGACAACGAGACTGGAAATATTGTGGACAACCTGCTGAAGCGCATGGAAATGTATGCGAATAATTTGGAGGAGCTTGTCGAGGAGCGCACCCAGGACTATCTCGAGGAGAAGAAAAAGTGCGAGAAGCTGCTCTACCAGTTGCTGCCACAGAGCGTTGCCGCTCAATTGATCAGCGGGCAGCCAGTTGTGGCCGAAACCTTTGACCAGGTGACCATATATTTCAGTGACATCGTTGGTTTCACTGCCATCTCAGCGGAGAGTACTCCGATGCAAGTGGTGCAGTTCCTCAACGATCTCTATACCTGCTTTGACGCGATTGTGGAGAACTTCGATGTTTACAAAGTGGAAACGATTGGCGATGCCTACATGGTCGTCTCCGGCCTGCCCATACGCAATGGCAACAATCATGCTCGGGAGATTGCACGCCTCTCCCTAGCCCTACTGGAGGCTGTGCATAATTTTAGGATCCATCATCGACCCGATGATCGCCTGAAGCTAAGGATTGGCCTGCATACGGGTGCCTGTGTCGCCGGCGTTGTGGGCCAAAAGATGCCACGCTATTGTCTCTTTGGTGACACCGTAAACACAGCCTCGCGCATGGAGTCCAACGGCGAGGCGCTCAAGATTCACATCAGTGAGACGACCAAGAAGGCGCTAGATGAGTTTGGCATCTTTCTAACGACCCGACGAGGTCTGGTGCCCATGAAGGGCAAGGGTGAAATGCTGACATATTGGCTGGAGGGTGAGGTGCCCAAGCCAGATGCCCTAATCTCGCCCAGCAAGCTGATGTTGACGCGACGCTCATCGTTGAAGCAACCCCATCGGCAGGGTCCTCAGCCACATCCCTTGTACAAACAATACTCGGAGCTGGGCAGCATTGTGGCCAATGTGATGCCACCGCCAGTGCCAGCGATAGCGTTACCTGTAGTGGACAAGGAGAAGTCACCCAATCTACGCGTTAAGCGCAAGATTAGCTCCAGCTCACCCAAGCTGAATGGTAACTGCTTCGAGCATAATGAAAAGACTGAAACCAATTACTATTTGGATGCCGGACAACAACAGCAGCAGCAGAATGTTCCATCTGATATCTACAGCAGTCGATCGCTGAGAGGCGTTGAAGTTGGTGGGGATTCAGCAGATGCTGACGGCGACTGCTGGGAGCTGGCCAACTTTCGTTTGCCGTTGAGCGGCATGCTCCGCAATCACAACAGTTGCCTGGCCCCGAGCAATACCCACTCCAATTCTAATTCCAATTTGAGCGGCATACTCCAGCCACAGCCCCAAGTCAGGAGCCGCCAGAGGGCATCGCCCACGATCTCAACGTTGCTGAAGAGCAACACAGACACGGTTAGCGCCAATATTGGGCAGCGTATTAAGTTCGCCGTCTGTGATGAGACTCCATTGCTAAGCAAGCAAGTGCCTGGATTGGCAACGATGGCCAACCCCAATTTGGAGCGGAGTGGGAGCAGCTGCAGCAATCAGAACATTCCAAACCCAAGCAGCGACAATCCATATGGCTATCTAGTCAAGAACTACAAACAGCTGCTCTGCAAGCCCGCAAACGTCTCGAATAGTCATGGACATGGACATGGACATGATCTCTCCTTGGTCGAGGAGTGTCCACGTCTGCCGGTAACTGCACGTGGAGCCGGCTCCAGCAGCACCGTAACGCAGCCGCTATTGGCCAAAATCAACTCGTAGCTGTAAGCATTGAGACTCATATTTGACCCAGGACCCGATCAGGACTGAGGTACCCTTCTCTAGTACCTAGTACTCGGAATGATGCATATTAAATGTACTTGTTTGTGATAATTAGTTTAAATCCAAGTTGAACAATATAGGAGTTAATCATTTGAAATAAATATTTATATTTATGTATTGTCTCAATGCATTCAAATTAATATTTTAAACTGTCTCACATAATTTATATAAAATGTATACGCAAGCTTAAGCAAAAATTCCTTAGAATCAATTTGAAATATGGCAGAGGAAAATAATGAGATTTGCAACAGATAACTGATAGGAATAATTTAGATCACAATTTAAATTTGCATGTGAAATTTGTGCCGTTATTAATTAAGTAGCGAATTTGGCAATGGACTTTTAAAACTCCAACAAATGTAAATATATAATTTAAAGACATCAAATGTAGTTTCTACTTCTGATAGATTCGTCACTGGCGCCTTGAATATTCGTCAGCAAACTCAATGTGAATAAGTTTTAAAATTACGTATACTGTTTTCATATAAATGTAATTCTAAAGTATTAAAAAGAATGGAAAACAAAAAAAAAAAACAGTTTCGTTGAAGAATAAATATTTATTTATTTACATACAATACTTTTGTCGTCGCTTTGTTTTATTACTATTCTAGGATATTTTTATTGCTATATACTTTCTTCCGATCTTATTCGTAATTACTCTTGTAATTCTCACACCAGATAAAATATAAAGTTATACAATACCAACAATTCCAGTTATAAAAATGTTGTCAAGGTGAAAGCTGGAATTCACTTGAATTATCAGCTACCAAATTTAAATTCAGTAAATTTTCGATTGGTTTACTTAACAGTACCATTTCGAGTATAACGTACCATATGGATTCCATCTTAAGCCCAGTTTACTGATCGACGAAAGAGATACAAAAATGTAATGAATTAATTTTCTCGTATTTACAGTGTTTACAAGAATACTTTTTTCTTGAAGATAACAATCATTTTTCATTCATAATTTACTATTTCCATTTAATACACTTGCCGTTTCTATGGTGGTTTGCCGATAACTGCCGTTAAAATATATCAAATATTATTTGACACCGTCGAACAGCTGTTCACAGAATCCACACAGGTCAACTGTAAGTTAAAATATATAATAATATCTTGCGACCTGTTTGACATCTTTCTTTTTGTTATGGAGTGTTTTCATTGTCGATAACTTTTTTTATTTGTAAGCTGTGCTCAAGTGGAAAACCAGCTGATCATGTTAAGGTTTAATACGCAGACCGAAAAACACTCTGGGCGAGCGAAAATTAAGTAGTTCAACCAATTATTCCCACCAAAGCTCATAATTTTTTTCATTTTCACGGGGGCCGTTAAAATGTATTACAGCTGTTTATTTCGCGTGCATGAGCAAAAGCCGAACAGCTGTTCATACAATCCACACAGGTTAACAGTGAGCCAACAGAGTGGACTTCAGTGTTTTTTTCTCAACACACTGACCGCTGTTAAACATTTAGCGAGCTGTTTTACGACGTATTTTTATATGGAGTTTTTCGTGCGCTCAAATTGCTCATCGAGTACCTGAGTACTGGGCTTAATAAACAATTGCTTAAATCGTTTTTTTTGTACAATAGTCAAAAGAAAAAAGAAAAAACGTAGCAGCGAGTGAAAGTAAAGGTAAATGAGCGCTGATTTGTTGTATTATATTAAATATATGAATAAATTTAAATCGAAAAACATTCGAAAGTAAATTGCATAATAAACAATGCAAATTAGCAATAGTGTGGATGAGTTGCAAGTTTTGTTTTGATGTGTTTGGATATCAGTCTAGACAGTACATTTTGTCAAATTGTTGCCGATAATTTCGGTCGGTTTTTTCAATGACACAATATTGTGAAATAGCAACTAGCCGGAAAATAACCACCCATTAAATAAAGTTCTGCGACCAATTATCAAAAAATATATAAAGCATATCTATTCGCTGTTGACAATTTATAAATTGCACTTTATCTAACAAATAGCAGACTTCTTTTAAATTCTGTCACCAGACTGTGCACCCGGCGCTTCTTATCGCATTATAGTTTATACATACAATTATCACAATTTGCACACGCCTTTCCTGTATGCGTGAGTGTGTTTGTGAGTAATTGTCACAAATAGTTTAAGGTCTCAAGCGAACTTTACGTGCATGCACTTAACACATACATTTAAAAATTGAATCAATCGCAGGTCCCGCAATATGTTGTACTGTCCGCCGAACGTGACATTCGATGAGATTTGGACACAGCATGGCATCTCGCACTGTTTTATGGACACCGTGGGACCGGCTGTCTGTGGCGGCTTCCTGCTGCTCTTTGGCAGCATTCAGCTGTTAATGTACCGGAAATATGCCACGCCCACGGATCCAACACAGATCTCCAAGTCGCGATTGTATGCACTGCAAATGTTTCTGCTGCTCCTTGTTCCGGTGTTGGCTCTATTGCGTTTCTTTTTGAACGCTCGCATCTATCCCGATGGGGTCGTCTATGGCTATATGGTGAGTATATTGCCAAAGTATGGACTCTAACCTTCCGGTGACTCATTTCATTTTGTCTATTGCAGATATTCTACACAAGCGTTGTGTGCTTCTCGTATCCATTTTGCATCTGCCTCATAATCAAGGAACGGCATTATCAGTTGCCTTCCGTGCCCACACGTGGGCATGGACTTATTCTATTGCTTTTCTGGACCTTGGCATTGATTAATGAAGCTCTCGCCATTGTTAATATGGATCATGAGGACTGGTGGTTCCGCTTGAAGAAGTATGTCGACATTCTCACTCATTTATTTTGCATAACAAATTAATTTCATCTATTGATGTGCTCCACAGCAACAAGGATGAAATTGAGATGGGCATGTTTGTTTCACGCGCCCTGTGCTCGCTGCTCATCTTTACGCTGGGCTTGAAGGCGCCCGGCATTATGGCGCCATATAATCCGCATCAGCGTCTGGAAAATGAGTCGTCTAACGATTCGACAGGCGGTGTGCCGACGGGCTCTGCTTTCCGCAACGGTTGGCGCAAATTGCGCAAACTATTCCCTTATCTGTGGCCTAAAAAGGATGTCATGCTGCAATTAGCTGTTGTTGTTTGCGTCATGTTGCTTGCCGCCGGTCGCGTTATCAAACTGTTTCTGCCCATTTATCGCAAACTGTTGGGTAGGTCATATTCTAGCAATTGTCATGAGTGCCCTCAATATACTAATCACTCTCTCGCTCCCTTCAGTCGACAGCCTGACCATTGAGCCCATCGAGTTTCGCTGGGACTTTGTGCTGATGTATGTGCTGCTATCGTTTCTACAAGGTGGCGGCACTGGCGGCATGGGCCTCTTCAACAATCTTCGCACTTTCCTCTGGATTCGTGTGCAGCAGTACACGACGCGCGAGATTGAGATTGATCTATTCCGTCATCTGCATCAGCTCTCGCTGCGTTGGCATCTGCAGCGCAAGACGGGCGAGGTGCTGCGCATCATGGATCGCGGCACGGACTCAATTAACAATTTGCTCAACTACATTGTATTCTCCATAACTCCTACCATACTGGATCTGCTTGTGGCTGTCATCTTCTTCATATATGCCTTCAACTGGTGGTTTGGTCTCATTGTGTTCTTAACCATGTTCCTGTATATAGGTAAGTCAACTGGGCACTCAAAAAGAGTTCTCATGCATTGATTATACATATTGTTTTTAATTGTGCTCGAGCAAAAATTACTCAAACACAATGCTGAAATTTCTATAGTCGGCTGAAAATTAGAAGAAGAAAGCAGAAATTAGAAGTATCTGCAATATGAAAATTTAAGAAAATGGTTAAAACTTAAAAACAAATATTTTAAACATGAATTTGTGGGATGACTTAGATAGATTTAGATTTAATAGATTTATCATAAATTAAATTCATTTGATTGTTAGTCAAATGCAAAACTTATTAAATATAATAATAATAACATTGAATCATAATTAAATTAAATATTCTTCCACAGCCTCCACAATCGCCATCACGGAATGGCGTACGCAATACCAAAGACGCATGAATCTGGCGGACAATGAGCAGCGCGCTAGAAGTGTGGACTCGCTGCTGAACTTTGAGACAGTCAAGTACTATGGAGCCGAGGGCTATGAGGTGGACTGTTACCGGGAGGCAATACTCAAGTACCAAAAGGAGGAATTTCTATCGATGGTGACGCTGAATTTGCTCAACACTGCCCAGAATATTATATTGTGTCTGGGATTGTTGGCTGGCTCGATGCTCTGCGTCTATTTGGTGGTACACCATCAGACCTTGACAGTGGGCGACTTTGTGCTCTTCTCCACGTATCTCATGGACTTGTATATGCCACTGAATTGGTTTGGCACCTATTATCGTGCTATACAGAAGAATTTTGTGGACATGGAGAACATGTTTGATCTGCTGCGCGAGGATGAAGAAATTGTTGATGCGCCGGGCTGTGCACCACTGCTTACGGCTGGCGGCAGCATAGAATTCTCGAATGTATCATTTGGCTACTCGCCGGAGAAGTGTGTGCTGCGCAATGTCAACTTTACTGTACCCGCCGGCAAAACAGTGGCCATTGTTGGACCCTCGGGCGCTGGTAAAAGTACTATCATGCGATTACTCTTCCGTTTCTACGATGTACAAACGGGTGCGATATCAATAGATGGCCAGAACATCAAGCTGGTGCAGCAGCAAAGTCTGCGAAAGGCAATTGGTAAGCAAAGAGCATACTAGATAGATATAAATTTAAATTAAAAGAAAAATATTTTATTTTATTTAATATATTTTTCTGAACTGGTTGATTCTCTTATTCTAATCTGCCTATTTTTTGCAGGTGTTGTTCCTCAGGATACGGTGCTGTTCAACAATACCATTTACTACAACATTGAATATGCCAAAATTGGTGCAACGCCTGATTCGGTTTATGAGGCTGCACGCTCAGCGGACATACACGACCGAATTTTGGAATTCCCCGACAGATATGAGACCAAAGTGGGCGAGCGGGGCTTGCGACTGAGTGGCGGCGAGAAGCAGCGTGTGGCCATAGCGCGAACACTGCTCAAGTCACCGATTATAGTGCTGCTGGACGAGGCCACATCGGCGCTGGACACGCACACAGAGCGTAACATTCAAGCGGCATTGGCACGCGTCTGTGCGAATCGTACGACAATTATTGTCGCCCATCGCCTGTCCACAATAATACATGCCGATGAGATTATTGTGCTGCAGGAGGGCAGCATTGTGGAGCGTGGCAGGCACGAGCAGCTGTTGGAGCGTGACGACGGCATCTATGCGGAAATGTGGCAGCAGCAGCTCAAAAATCTAAATGCCGAGCAAAGCTCAACGGAGGACGAAACGGAAGAGCGACCAAAGATGCTTTAGAACGGATCACGGATATAAGGCATAGATCTTAGAAGTAATTTTGATTTCTTTGTTGTTACATGTGATTTGTGGCACTTGTTGTGTATGATGGGTTGCTTTCTTGATTCCTAGTTCTTGTCTACATTATATTGTAATAATAAACGAATAATTCTAATTTTTATAAAATAACGTAAATATGTCGCACTCTCTCTCTCTCTCTCTCTCTCTCGCTGTCTCTTACTTGTAATTGTTACCGTTTGGATTTAAAGAGCGTCCACGACATCTGGCGGCGAAGAGAGCCGCCGCTCTTAGCAATTGCCAGAGATTGTCGCCGCTTATCAGTAAGAACCTCCAGCAAGGCCAGAGCATCGGCTTCGATGCGGAGCCAGCTTCAGTTCGAGTGCGGAACGCGAACTAAGCAGACGTGGAATTCGAAAGGCGTTCTGCGATACGTTGGTGATAAAGAACAAATCGGCGGCTTCTTTGAAAACATTTCTAATTACACTTATAGTTGATATATACTATACATATATTATATAAATATATTATATATACTTATATATTTATATATATATACGTGGGAGATAAGTGTGTCGTGTAAATCGTTATTAGATCGGCATCTTCACGAGAATTTTTTGCAAGTTGATCATGCGGCGACTGAAGTGTTCCGTGTTTGTGTGTATGTAGAAAATAGCAAATAACCTAATTGATAAACCCCAGGGACATATCAAAAATGTATATACTTATTCAGGAGCATGACGTAATGTTTCATTGAATAACAATTCAAACAAAACAAAAACAATAAAAATAAAAATAAAAAAAACACTAGCAATATGTATATATTTAATAATAATATTGATTAAACCGTTTTGCGCTTGATGACCACATAAATAATCTCATACATACATAAATATATATATATACTTGCATATGTACATACATACAAACATACATGCAGACAAGTATATAGACAAAATTCAATTGATAAAGTGTATTGGATGCTGTTGCCCCCGGCACGGGATGTCACAAAGTTTATTGCCACACACAACAATTTCTTGTTGAATGCAAATGCTCAACACCATTTTCAATTTTCAGTTCTATTTTTGGTAATCGATGTCGGTCGTTCATTCAACATAATTGGAATCAATAAGCAAATGCTCTACGAATATGTGGGCAATGTTCTCGTTGGCTCCAAGCCCCAGGACGAAGGACTCCCAGCACCACCAACCACAGGTTGGATTGTTCGCGGCAAACTAACCCTCCAGCGTCAGAGTGAACTTGTCATGGCCGCTGCGGTAAGTCAACCCAAAAAGGATTTACATAAGTTATCTGTGTTTTGGATATCTCTTCAAATATCTACCAAAACGGCATTAGAATAAATATATAGAAACTTTTGCCTAGATAGAAACTTGCTATTGAAAACAAAATAGGGTCTCAGGTAATTTGATAATTATAGTCACTTCATGTTTGTAGGTAGAACAAGTTAATGTGCATTAGATAAAATATATAAATGTATAAAAATGCTTATCAAGAGATAACTATAAATATTGAATTTTTGGATTAATTTCTGTATTGAATATAATTATATACTATCAATCTATAGTTTAAAAAGAGCTGTCTACTAAGAATATATTATATATATATATATATATATATATTTAATATACATAATATACATGAATTATTATTGGCTTTGAACAGAGATTCGCAAATTGAAATGTTTTTTTTTTTTCTAAAGTAGAAAAATTTGGTTTATTTTTTGTGATTCCCTTCTACACAAACACATATATGCCAATACTAGAACAGAATTTTAATCATAATTTCATTTTTGCAAAATATTTGTTTGTGTTTACAAAATAAGAATAGGGTATTTGTTCCAAATATAAATGTGTATTTCTATATGTATATGTAATCAATTGAATAAAACTAGAGAATAAAATAGAAAATTGATTGATTTCATGATCAATTTGTATTCAATTCAATCAAGTGCGAATACATTGCATGATTGGCCGGCGAGTCCCCTTTTTCCTGACCAGCAGTCTCAAGCTCAAGTTTTTGCAGACACTTTGCAAAAGAATTCGCAGATGAATTAAAAACAATTTAACCTTTCGCCAGTCTCCCAGTGCACAATGAACTCAACTCGACTGTGAACTTCTTTCATTGAAAGCGCAACAGATAATATATATACATATATATATATATATACGATGCTACCAGTATATACATATATATAATGTAGTACATTATATACGCGAAGCAATCAGCTTAGATTGTTTTGACTGTGGAAGTAGTGGTGGTGCTGGTGGTGCTACAGCTAGTGGTGCTGTCGTTGATGGGGATCATAAAGCGGCGCTATGCTTATCAATGGACCTAACACTTAGACATCTGTTTGCCATATGTAACATGGCTCATGATTCGCCTCGCTCTTCCCGCGCCGAGGCTGACTAATATTTTGTATTAAGATAAACGCAGCCCAGACAGCTGAGCGGCTACAGATTACAGTGTCTCCGGGATTTCCCGACACGCACAGATACATGCAAATAAACAGAGACAAAAATCAAACAACTACGAAGTATTTTCTAATCAATACTTACGATGTCAATCTTGATAGTCTACTTAGATTGATTTTTATAAGGTCAAGTATATTGATCTTACATAAAATACGATTAATAAATTAAATATTTGCGTACTTAAAAAGGGAGTATCTTAATATTTAGTACTTATAAAAATATATAAATAATAGAATAGCTGAACTCTTTTTATAATTTAAAGGTGGTTTTTTTATTTTATAACAAAATAAAATACATTTAAATAACAAATATTTGTATAAAATACAAGTTTATGAACTATTCAACCAATAAATAGAAAATAGATTATTTTGAATCATTGCATTTGACTTTAAATTAAGTAAAAACGTTTTTATGTAGATGACTTTCTCTGGCACTGACCAGTCCTCAGCAGCAGAAATATCTCAAATATATCAGAGCTCTCGGATATTCATTGCACCTATGTAAATAATTGGGATTTCAATTGAAATTCGATTTTTGCTGCAATTTGCATTACATTTTGCTGTTTCAATCTCAAATATTTAAAATTAATTAAATTAATGAATGAATATATAATGATCTTTAGTTAAATACTTGTCGTCTCTTTCATCGTCATTTAGCTGGTCATAGACGATGTAACGCTCAATAATTCGGGTGACAAGTATACGCAGAACAAGGAAATGTATCCGCCGTACAAACCCTTTAAGATTATACTCACGAGAAATGGCTTAATATCGCATGTGGTGTTCAAGGAGGGTGATCCCATTTGGTCGATGAACTTCAAGCGTGCCATTGCCGGCACACTGCAATTTCAAATCAAGTCCAGCGGCGCCTTTGTCGTCAATGAGGTGAGTGATCCACAAAATCCAAAAACAAAAGTGCAATATTGCAGCAGCTACATATTGATTTAGACGGGCATCCACGGCGAATGCCAGACGGAGTACTTTGTGTCCAACAAGACCAACTATATATCCATACGGAAGACGCCTGAACTGAAGACCTGTAAGCCGTACTCGGAGGCGGTGCACGTGACCCGCAGCAATGTGCACCCGAACACGTGTGAGTTTGATCACCAGAAGAGTGTCATCATTGGCAATGAGGCCATCTACGGCATATTGCCGCACAATGAAACCGGCTACTTTCTGAGCATGGCGCATGCCAAGGGCACCACACTGATTCACACCTTCGAGTCGACGGGTGAGGCGCAATACATTAACTCGGAGTAAGTTGAACTACTGTGCGTATTAGCCAAGAAAATCCCCTTAAGTATCGCAAATCTTTTTGCAGACTGCTGCTGAATTTTCAAAAGGAAACACGAATTGATAACCCCATTGATATTGAGACCTCGATGTCGCCAGAGGTGTCGAATTTGCTGTTGCAACCGTTGGAAATGAATGATCCCACCGGCGGACGCAATCCACAGCAGCAGGAGACTCTGATCTCTGCCGCAGCTGGACTGCTGGACAGCTTGGCCGAGGCACTGGAGAGCACAGACTTTAAATTCAATGAGCCCTACGACTCGAGGCTGTCCGATGCGATAAGGCTGCTGAGTGAAATGGATTTTGAGTCGCTGAAGAAACTCTACACAGATGTGGACATCGGCACTTCGTACAGACAGGAGACGATACGCAAAATCTTTCATGAGATCATTCCACGTATTGGCACCAAAGCCTCAGTATTCTTAACTCGCCACCTGGTCGTGGAGAAGTCCATCAAATCACAAATTGCTGTCCAGCTGCTCATTCCAATGCCATTTCACATATTCGAGCTGTCTGCGGAGCTGGTGAAGGAGTGCGAGGATTTCCTCAGCATCGGACCCGATCGTCCCGATGTGCGGCAGGCAGCGATCCTAAGCTTTGCCACCCTCGTCTACAACGTCTATGTGGCAAATGGCATTGACAAGGATCAGTTTGAGGAATACGTGCAAAAGTATTTCAATATGTATTTGAGTAAGTGCTGACAAATCTACAGAAATTGCCGAGCATCTTGCTCTATTCCAAGGAATTCGTTCGTCTAAAAGGGAATTCTAACTTTATGACATATTTTCAACTCTTTTGCAGACGATCGTGACTACGAGCAGAAAATGTTGTTCCTGCAGGGACTCAGCAATTTGCAGATGGGCAATGTGGCCAATTATCTGGAGCCCATTGTGCAGGAGGGCGACAATGAGGATCTCAGATTTATGGCTGCCTGGACAACGCTGGCATTGGCCCACAAGCGGCCCGAGCGCATCTACGAGATCTACTGGCCCATCTTTGAGTCCCGCAATGCCAGTCTGGAGCTACGCGTTGCCGCCGTCACCTTGCTTCTAATCTCGAATCCGACTGCGGCGCGTCTGATCAGCATTCATCGGATTATACAGAGCGAGACAGATCCTCACTTGATCAACTATTATCGCACAACAGTCACAAGCATATCGGAGACGACATATCCATGCTACCAGCAGCTGTAAGTGATCAATAATGATTATTGGATTATCATTGCCACTTTCTGATTACATAAACATATTCATTGTTTAGTCGTCGCCTGCTTTCCTATATGCATCGCCATCTGCCCCAGAAGCCAGAGCCGCGCTATTGGGTCACCGGCAATTACATATTCGATTATCGTGACTCCAAGTTCGGCATTGGGGCCATGCTGCAGACCTTCCTTGTCGGTGATCCCAAGTCCGACATGCCCGTGGTGGCATTTTTCAAATTTGACTCAGAGGCCCTCGGCAAATTTACGGGTCAGCTTGCGGTGCGTTTGCCAACAAACTTATCCTAGTCATTTTGATTTTAATTTGTTTATTGGATAATTGGCCTCTTGCAGCTGTACATCAAGGCACGCGGTCTGCCCGATGCCATTTGGCAGACGCTGCAGTCCAAGGTCAATGGCAACGAGCCCTTCACATTGAAGAGCATTAAGACCCTGCTGTCCATGCTCCAGGCTCCCATTCTCAACTCAAAGAACCTGCACTTTGAGTTCATACTGCAAATGGAGGGCAAAACGGTGCTTTCCTACTACCTAAATCAACGCATGTTCCAGCAGCTGACCTATGATAATAGTGAGTATGACTGATTGATGAATAGATGATTAAGTCCCAAAGTTGGACTTAAAAACTAGAAAATGCCTTGCTATTTATATATTATATTTTATTATAAACGGCATTAAATTAAGCAATTAATCTGTAGTAAAGACAATCTCAAAATGTATTTAAAACTAATAGATGATTTATTGTGATTTGAGCTATAAGATGAAAGTAAGAAATTTATCTGGGACCTATTTAAAAACAGATAGTTTGAAATTGTATTTGTCTGCCAATTCCAGTTATCTATCTTTATATATCTAGTCAAATTACTAGTTGCTAATTCCTTCTAATATACCATATATATCTTTATACATATCTAATCAAATTTCGTTCTATTGCCTGAATAGTTTTGGGTCGTATACAACTGCTGATCCGCACTGATAGCCACATTAATATGCAGACAGTGCGCTGGCCCTTCATGAACAAATACTCGGTGCCCACGGTGCTGGGCACCTCCTCCGATGTGCTGCTGCAGACAACGGTGCTGACATCGCTGCGTGGCAACATAACGGAACATCGAACGCCGCCGAGCACGAAGCACACACTGGAGATCGATGCACGCTACTCGTCGTATGCCTCGGTGCGCAGTCGCAGCTACAACCCGTTCCTCAATCTGGACCATGAGATCAATCGGGAGCAGGGCTTCCTCATCTACATACCGTTCAGCAGTGAGCTGACCCTAAATGAGAGTGGCTGGTGTCCTCGCTTCACCTTCACTCGTCCCCAGAATCTGACAAGTGGCTTGTCATTCAAGTCACGAGCGGTGACCACAACCCGTGGTCTGATGACAAAAACACCAGCGGCACCCTATGAGGAGATAATGTACCCAGATCCTGGCAACGAAGTGGTATAAATTGAATTCAAGCGAGCCATTCGAAATGCTTTAAGTATTCCCCTTTTCCTCATGCAGTTCCAGCCGTTTAGCTATGCCATTCCAGACTTGGGCGTCAAACTGAAGCTCAACATCAATCTGAATGAGATAATCAAATTTCGGGGCATGCTGCTCAAGTCCGAGTTCATAGAGAAGTAAACCCCAACCACAAAACAATGCTTTGTAATTCGCATATCTAACTCACATTCCAATCTTTTGCAGTGGCTTCTCTCGCAGCATGGTCGTCAGTCTGATGATGTACATCTTTGGCTTCACTCAACTGAGCTCCATTCACTTGGGTCATGATCGAAACTTTACCTTGCTGATCTACAATGAGAATGCTACACGGGTAAGCCTAACATAAATCTTAGTTTGCTTCAAATGCAATCGAATTGAAGACGAGCAAATCAGTGGTTGATAACATAAAGTATATTTTCATTGAGAAACAATTTTGTCATAGATATACAAATGAGTACATGAGTATATTTTGAGCATGATATTTCCATTTTATTTGGAAAATTCACAATTCACAGATGTTATCTAGATATATAATATTCCATCATAAATTCGGCTTAAGATTAACATGTTTGAGCAAAAAGAAAACTTTGACCAGATGTTTATCGCCTTAGCGAAAACTAGTTTTGCTTTCTTTTACGTTGGGTATCCCTATTCGATTGATTAATCTGTCGTACATCGCCAAGAGAATACCCCTATTGAAAGCATGATCAATTGTTTTCAGATTGATGGCAACATATTCGTTGAGGACGTACTTAAGACATCGGAATTGAAGGGCAAGAAGATCGGCTTTACAATGGAGCATGCGGATGAGACACAGAATTTGGAAGCGATGCACAAATGGAATGTCCTATTGGATGTGCAGACGTCAACCAAGTCCAACTGGTTCAAGGTTACCGGCAAGGTGCAGCGCAACTCCAAAGATGACCAGGATGATTGGAAGGTGAGCGTTTCTTTGAGACAGTTAGCAGCTGAGGGAAGTGATTTATTTCAAAAGGGGGCTAAACTATATTAAGCCCAGATTTTATTTAATTTTTATTTAACATTAATCCGTTTTTGGGGGGTTGGACATGACTTGGAAATTCACTTGTGTACATCATGCACATACATTTATGCCCCGGATTTGGTCTATATAGGTTTTTGATATTTTGTCTTTAGCCCTCCTGTCCAGCTATCTCTAGTTCCTCCTCGGCATTGATAAGCGCTACAATGCCATCCTGCAGCGATTTGACCAGCTCGAATTCGGTGAAGCCTAAGCGGCGCCTGTTCGATATATCCATGATGCCATCCTCGATGACGGTGTGCTCGCCGCCAGTGCCGCGTATCTGCAGGGACAGCTCATCGGCCATTGTCTTCAGTCGGTCCTCGCTCTTGCTGAGCAGGGGCAGACGGATGTGGACCGAGGCGCGCAGTGTGGTGCCCAGATTGGTGGGACAGGCGCTCAGATTGCCATAGCTGGCATGGCGCGCAAACGTTAGATTCTTCTCGAGCTCCTGAATGCCGGTGACGAGACGCTGATAGACATCACCCAAATCGCCGCACTGTGCCATCGATATGATCCGCAAATGGTCCTCTTCGTTAACCCAAATCAAAAATGTCTCTGCGGGATTATGGTAGACACCGCGTCCGGTGGGCCAAAAGCGATAGCAACCAGCTGTCTGCAGATATGGATCCCCACGCTGGAACAGTATATGTCGCTTGACCATCTCCTGTTGGGTTTCGGTATCGATTTCGGCCAGGGTTAGATAGGTGCCAATGAGCTCCCCATCCATTGTTTCCGTTGCGGCGCGCACCTTCTCCTCCACCTCGATGAGCTGCTTCTCCGTCAGCTTGGGAAAGAAGGGCAATCCTTCGATGTTGCGTGCAATCCGTATACGTGCCGACAATATATATTTGCGTTCCGCATCCAGATTCTCGATCTCGTCGACATTGCCCCAATCGATGTCCTTTTGCAGCACATCGCTGTCGTTCTCCTCCTGGCCATGGTACTCCTTGATGATCGGATCGAATAGCTTGCCGAACACATCGTACGACTCTGGATCTGCCGCATAGATGCCCACATGCGAGTCATGGTGCTCGAAACCAGATACGGCACAATCATACAGATAGGCATCCACTGGCGATGCAGTGGTCACCAGCATATACTCCTCGAGCAGCTCGGGTGTTAGATATTTACGCAACAGAGAACCGACATTCTCCTCGTCGTCCATGAGTGATTTGTAGCCAGCCATGGTGAGCTCCTGGTATTCCTCCGGTGATTTCTTGCTGTAAAAAGGAGAAGCCAGAAATGAGTATTCCCTCGTTCCGTTCTCAGTACTTACATTTGTCCACGCAAGCGCTCCAATTCCTGTTCCAATCGAACTATGGTTGTCTTGGCCTCCTCCAGATCATTCTTCATCAGATCATATTGAGCATCGTCCGGGCAGCTTTCGCACATGAATTTGCGCACAAACCGAATGGCATCTTCGGGCTTGTTCTGCTCCTCGTATAGCTTGATGAGCGCCTTGCTGAGTGCATCAATGACACCGGCACGCTCCAGGTACTTGCGATATTGCACACGTTTTGATTCAATCTGGCAGGTGGTGGAGTAGAGTCAAATCAATTACAGACCTTTCCCCTTTTATTTGGCGATATTCCCCTCCCATACAAGCCTTACCGATGTCATTTTTAATCTGTCGAACCGAATTCAAGTAAACCAAAATTTATAAACGCAAAATTAGTTGAATGCTTGAAATCAAAATGTCCACAAGCTGACAAACGGCTGGCAGGAACAGACACGGGAGCCTTCAGATTTTTTAAATGTTTTTTTTTTATTCACAAAAAAAAAGAAAGAAACAAAATTGAATTTTATGCTGAATTTACGATTTGAGAAATGCGTCTGAAACGTATTGTAGCTGACTGCTTTCTAAATAAACCGCCTGCCCGCTACATATTGATCAAACTGACTACGTTTAACGCAAAGCCTGCCTGCGTCCCCTGCCTGCCCCCGAAATATGAATGTGGGACAGCAATTGTGGCAGGCAGACTGAGCTCGTATTCCCCTGCCGTATTGTATTGTTGTATAATAAAGTGGCACGGAGACAGACAACGCATACAGACAGACAGCCTGAAGTACACATGCAGTGTGTGGCAGAGCCGTCGACAGACAGCCAGGATATGTGCAGGCTAATCGTTGCCGCAGTTGTTGTGGTTGTCGCATGCCCCACTGTTTTGTCATGGTAATCGGAGCCGCCACCCTCGCCTCGCATAACTGAAAGCAACCAAAACAAGTGCCTCCAACAACGTTACTTAACACACAAACACACAACAATACAATACATATAGGAATATGAATAGTTGCAACAAGGTAAAAAAAATTTTTTCCTTATTGTTAACAGCTTTGTTCTTGAACAAAAAATAGGAAATAACTTTAAACATAGGAATAACAAAACAAAACAAGATCTTAAGTCGAGTTCAATATTTTAGAATTTGTGTACAAAATAGAAATATACATTGACATCATAGCAAATATACTTGAATTGAATCCCAGTCTAGCTTTAAGTTTTCCAAAGAAGAATTTTTAAAATTTCAGAAAGAGTTTTCTAATTCTTATTTTACTAAATAAAAGCTTTGAAAACTGTTAAACATTGAAGCAAAAACACCTGAATTCTTCTATATATATCGAATTAATTACTGTTTACTACTTGACAAATCGCTGGTGCTATTTATGTGACCAGCAGTGTATTCGTATAAAGTGTATATGTATACAGGGTGCAGGTGCTGTCTAAGGAGAACACTTGGCGCGCGTCACTGACAGCCACTTGGAACCGACTTTGCCAACTTTTGAGCTCACTTTCTGTTGTGCTGTCTATTGCAGGCCTGCTCCAAGTTAACCTACGAACCGCTTGTCTTCACCAAACGCCCACACACCCTCAATGGCTATGTGGTCTTTGGCCTGGCTGCCGAAGACGGCGAATGCCCGGACACCGGCTCCAAGGTGCAGTTTGCGGCACGCGCAGGCGTAAGTACTACATAAGTTGCAACAATCTGTATATAGGTTAAAGCTATATATGCCATACATATAAATTACAGCCGTCGGAACATGCAAGGGCCTTCCTTCGCTCGGATAAGACATCGCTCACTGACACCGACTTCTGTCCAAAGGAGGTGCTCAAGTTTTCGCCCATTCCCACATCGAAGTATTGCAAGCGCAGCAACTTTGAGAATTTCACATCTATAACGCAATATGACATGGATCTGAAGTTTACCAATGTAAGTTAATTATTTAAATAAAAGGTTAAGTTGTTTTTTGTGTTCTTTAATATTTGATACACTATTTATATGATTGGTGATTGAATGAATGACATTTCTTTTTAGTATTGCAGTTCGGGAATTGAAAATCTCTTTATATAGTTACATGAATTAAATTTAGAACCGATTCTTGCCATGAAATTTAATATTTAAGATACAGTAGTCGAATGCAAGTAGTCCTCAAACAAACCTTGCCGAATTCTTATCAATAGAATTAATTAAAGTCCCACATCTTCTTCCATATTTGCACATTCTAAAATAATTTATTTATTTTAGATGCCCGCCTGGTTTGAGCTGTGGTCCACGCGTCTTGATCACTTGGTATCTGCTCTGTCCACCGATAAGGTGGATAGCCTGCACATGAATGAGCAGATTAATATTTCGATACACACGCCGCATGATCAATTCTGGCGGACTGTCGAGGTGAATGGAGTCCTCTGGCGTTTCTATCACATACCCTTTTTGTATAAGCTGGACTCCAAGTTTGATGCATCACACGAATTGAGTTACGATTCGGGCTTTCGGCGTTCATGTTCGGTGATCAATGGCATGATCAATTCGTTCGATGATTATCTAATTAATCTGGGCGAGATTGCCGCCCAGCCGGATTGTCTGACGCTGCTGGTGGCCGATTGTTCGCCACAGCCTCAAATGGCTGTGTTCCTAACACCCTCGCCGAGTGGCCAGAGTCTGGCCAGCAATTACGGACTACGCGTTCACATTGGCCAAAACTATTTCAATTTCCGATCGCGTGCCGGCAACAGCAATCAGCTGGACGAGGAGCCCGTCTTCATCTATGTGAATCAAGCGCAGACGCCGCATGATGTGCGCCTCAAGCCGTATCAATGGCCCATCGACGCCACTGACTATGCCTTCCGGTAAGTATCGATGCGCTGAAAGCTATTTTACAGATTAATTAATAATCATGCCGGTTGCAGCGTGGAGCTCAACGAGCAAAATCTCCTGATCATCGAGTGCACCAAATTGGGCGCCACCATTCAGTTTGACATGTACAACATCTTCAATTTCGAGATCTATGGCGTCTACAAGCATCAGATGTGCGGCCTGTGCAGCAAGCCCCTCAATCGCATGCACAACTACACGCTCTGCGAACTGGATGCGAGCGCGACGCCGACACCGACGCCTGCTGAGAATGTATCTGAAGTAGTTGTATCTTAGGGATGATGATGTTTATACAAGTATGCAAGTGACGAACTCGAAAATGTAGCTCAAATAAATGTACAGCTCAGCGCTCTGAACAAAACTAATTTAATAATACTCTTAACAGAAGCCAAAAAATAACTAAAAAGTGATTGGTTTAAAATTTGAAATCAATTTCATAAACATTGCCACTTCAAAAATTAAGCATTAGGCTACTTATTAAAACAATTTGCAAAACGACTTATTGTTATGTTCATTTATTTAAAGCAATGTGTTGAATTTGAAAAACATATAATCATAATGCTCAGTAGAAACGACAAAAAAAAAACGATGGTAAATTTCATGTGAAACGTTTTCGCGATAGTCAAACAAAAAATGCCTCATTATTGAGGATAATTCAAGTTAAACTTATAACTAGGAACTTATATAGATAATATACTATATATTTAATGTCAGTCTGTGTGACAAAAGGCACAAACTGCTTGTCAGGTGCTCTACACGAGAACTGGCTAAAATTATTACTGTTGTTTCCAGCCCACTTGCTTTTCACGGTCGCGATGCAGTTGGGTTAGCAAATGCAAACGTAACTGGGTCACAGACTCCAGCGTTTCGTTGCACAATCTGCAATTGCGGGGCTGCATGACACCATCGCTGCAAGCGAATCAGGAATTTAGAAATTGTAAAATCATATTGAGACAATGGAATACTTACAAATTTTGCCAATCGTACAGTTCACTGCAATTCTCTTGTAAGGCCAGTAAATTGCCCATGTCCTCGCTTTCCAGATCATAGGAGCCATGCATTGGAAATATAGCACGTTTGCCATACGGCTCGGATGGCGGCTCCAAGTCAGACATGTCCTCCCAAACGTATTTCGAATTCCATACGTGTCGTTCAATGAAGCTGCGATCCTTGCCAAGCAGTCTGAGAAAACAGAGTTCATTAAAATACAATTTAAAGTTGGACTTTCTTCTGTGTACAAACCGAGTAAGCAAATTACGCAATTGATTAAATATAACAAGGCGACCCTCTACGCCAACCGCAGGCAATTCATTAGCATCGAAATTGAAGAACATACTATCGATATTATAGCGCATTTGATTTATCTGAAATGTACGAAAAATATAAGAGATAAACTAAATACTATTTGTGATTCTTAATTACAATACGAATATCATCCTTGAGTATGCCGACATCCAAATTGATGACCATGTCGTGCTCTTGAAAATACGGCTCCAAGGTGTCCGGATTGAAGCCTAGGCCGGCCAACAGGCACACATATTTCGTGCGCTCCGGGTTGCATTTGATCTGCATTGTGGGGCAAAAGAGCATGGCCATAAGTGCACCAAATCCATGTATATTCGGCATCAATGTTGTGCCGCGAGCCACCAATTTGTCATTACCATCCGACTCGGTCACCGAGGCGGCGACAATCATTTGATCGTGTCGATCCTGCGGATCTGCATCCAAAAGCACAGCGTTCACCGACTCCTTCTCAATGGCCACCGACTTGTACATGCCAATGCGCAGCATTGAGTTCATGCTGTTTTCGAGCGGACTATATGGTCCCTTCAACCGTATGCTCGTATGGCATTTATCCAGCGGCGGTGGCTCCAAATCGGCATCCTGCGGCAGCTGGTTAAAGCGCAGATACTCCTCATTGACCTGCTGTTGTTCCGCGGCGGGCACATAACGCTTCATCTTCTGTTTGCGTATGCGGAAGTCGTGATCCTTGCGTGACATGTAATCCTCGTCGGCACGTCGCGCCAATTGGTGCTCCACCAGTTTGTCGTTGAGTACGCCGTCGCGCATGTGGATGAGAACAGCGGCCACATTGTTCACCAGGGAGTACACCTCCAGTTCGAGAGGACCGCAACTGGCCAGCTTGCTCAACATTTCGTTGGCCTTTTGGGGCCAGCGATTGCTGTAGCTGGTCACCGACGATGGCTGCACCAGCGCCAAGCGGCACTCGAACATGCGCGGTGGCAATTCCTCTAAATCGCGCCTCAGTTCGTGCCGCATCAGACGCAACTGATCCATGGCCAGCAATGCCCAATCGCCGTAATCAATGAAACGCACCAAAAACTGGGGAATCGCATTCGATTGCGGCTCCACCTTTAGCACCACAGCACGCTGAAACTTGGATCCACGTCTCGCCAGCAACTGCAGACCCTTCGTTATGGCGCTCGCATTCCGCACATGGTAGCTCAGCTGCTCCGGTGCATTGAATATCTCCGTCATGCTGGCAATGCGCTCGGCCAGCGATCGTGGCTGGAAGTAGAACTTGCCGCAGTTGACTATCTGTGGAATGGAAAATGAGAATGATTAATTGTTTATTGTTTAAATAATTAGTATTATTTAAAAGTAGAAAAAACAATAGCAAAACTGCTGTGACAATCAACCAATTTCAAAATTTCAAAATCCTGGCTTAATATTAAATCATGTCCGTTTAAGAGATCATTATCTCTAAAGATTGTTAACTGTATTACTTATAAATAATAAAAAAAAAATAACTGCTATAATAATTAACCACAAGAATTGATAACTCCTGTCTCATATCTGTTTGTTCTTATAAAATATGACTAGCTTTGAGAACTAATCTCACATAAGTAATGAGGCCTGTGATCTTCTTGTCAAAGACCGATGGCAAGGTGAGCAACTCCACATTCCATTGCTTGGATGGCGGCACCCATTTGCTGTCCTGGACCACACCGATGTTACGCTGTTGCACATACTTCAAAGCGCTGTTTTGACTGCAAAATACGAGAGTATTAGGTGCATTTGCTGAATGTGCTTAGATTATGTTGTTGGAACTTACTCCATGACGCGCAGAGAACGGTTTGGATTATTCATACGCATCCGAATGGCTTTGTAGACTTCGGTGGTGACGCGACCCGGAACCTGTACCACATCCGTGGAGTTCATATAGTCATCGTCATCGCCCTTGAACGTAACAAATATCTTCTCCGAGCCCTGCTGAAAGGTTACATCGATTTTCTCTGGTGGAATTCTCGCTTCGAGAAAAAGTTCCTTGACACGCCGCGTATACAATTCGCCCATGTAGCGCGGCACAAACTGCGTGAAGTAGACGGTGCGGCAAGGATCGTTGCCACAAATGGAGTGATACACGTCACGATCATAATCTGGTATCGTTTTGTTGTTGCGCGTAAAATAATTGGGATAGAAGGCGCCAGCAATGATCACTTTCAAAATAATCGATTTCTCACGATCATGCCACATGTGGCTGGCCCCAACGGGTAGCGACACCAGATTAAGGGCCGCGCAACGCTTCTGTAACTCCTGGACCAACAAATACATCTCCTTCAGCGAACGCAGGCTGACATTATAGCGACGTGCCCACTGCACCTCCGAATCCTTCATCGGAAGATTCTGGCACATGTTCACATAGATCTGCAAAAGAAATAAAATAGTTAATGTCTCGTTTTTTTCTACTGCTCAACTACTACTGCTGCTACTTACTTTATACACACGCCAAAAGCCAACCAAATCGGAGCCGGAACCATCGGCAAAGATGTAGTGCATCCAAAAAGCATCGCTTGTGCGCTGACGCTGTCCCGAGAGATACAAGGAGCGAACAGACATGCCAGCAGCTAAAAATTCAACATTTCTAAATTTATCGCAATATATTTTAAAGCTAGTCACTAACCAATAATAATCGCCTCGTCCAAACAATTGAAGATGTATCCCAGTATGATAAGGCGACTGAGGCGCACGTCGAGCGGGAATCGTGACATGATTGTGCCCCAATAGGTGAGATCGCCGTCCAACTGCTCGTAGACGCCATCGACCGTTGTGTAAAGGGCGCCCACCTCCTTCAGCAGCAACACCGTGTTATGGATATCCGTGAGATTTGGCGGCGACATAGCAAGTGCTAAAATTTCACTTGGTCCGCCCATGTCGAGTTCCTTGGCCTTAAGCACCGAGCTTTGCAGTGGCGAGCGCAACATTTCGGGTATGCCAAACTCTTGCATCTCCTCCATATAGAAGGCCTTGGTGACCATGCGATAAACTCGACCGCTGCGTGTGCGACCAACGCGCCCTGCACGTTGACGGCAATTCACCTTGGATGCCCATTCCAGGCACAGGCAGCTGAAATTGGAGGCCGTGTCGATGTGCATCACCTTGGCGAGGCAAAAGTCAATCACATAGGATACATCTGTCACAGTTATGGAGCTCTCCGCAATGTTGGTGGTCAGTATGACCTTGCGATGGCCAGACAGCGGCGGCTGAAACACATCCTCCTGCGAATCGGACGACATCAGCGAATGGCAGCGCACAATCGTAATCTTAATGTTAGGACTGATTGAAAAAAATCTATTAATCTGATTATGTATTAAAGGAAGATCTGAGAATCACTTACCTCTCATTCATGACGTGCTCGATGTGCTCGGCCATCGTATCGATCTCATTGACGCCCGGCAGAAAGATGAGCACGGAGCCCGTGCGCTTTGCCTCCTCGTAGGACTGCTCGGATTGACCCTCCGCTTTGCGTTCCATATTATCGATGACCAGGAGGATTTTGACGGCATCTCTGTAGCCCTCATGGGTTATGCCCGGCTCCCGTTGCTGCGGCTCAGTCTTCCAGTTAATGTTCTTCAGTTGATCGCGATAGTACTTGACCAGCGGATACTTCCGGCCATGACTGGCGGCCACAACCGGTGGCATCGATTTACAGCTGGCAAAATACTTGCAAAACTCGCGTGTATCGATTGTCGCCGACATTAGAATGACTTTGACATGTCGTGAATTGAGTGCCAGCAGTCGTCGCACCACAATCAACAGGAAATCCATATCCTGATCTCGATCGTGCACCTCATCCAGCACAATGTGCGTGTAGTGGGTCAACGTCTTCAGCCGAATCAGATTGTTCAACAGAACTCCGGTGGTGCAGTACAAGAGACGCGTGTCCGCCGAATTGGACTGCTTGTGCAGGCCCACCTGGTAGCTGCACACGGTACCCGGTTGCCATCGTCGCTCCTGGCAAACGCGATTCGCAATCGAAATGGCAGCAATGCGACGTGGCTGCGTCACAACAATATTACAAAATTCGCGCTTTTTAAAAGCCTCGTCCAGAATGTACTGCGGCACCTGGTGGTTAAAAAGTGAATCACAAATCAGTACAACTGGTCACACTGCATAATGCGCTGCAAAGGCAGATTATTGCAACAATTAATTTGCAATATATATAAAAAATCAAAAATGCAATTTAATGCTGATAATTTAAATAAAATAAGTTATTACAATCGCACCAAGGCGTTACCGGCAAATGGAAATGTGAAAATATCGCACGCAAATATCGATACTAAATGGTGCAATTCAAACGTTATCGATTTATCGATATGCATTTAATCGCAGGCGGCATAGAAATGAGCAAACCAAAGAGAAGTCACATAGCATGGAGAGAATTGTTTACGGCGACTGCTGGAAACTGTTGCAGCGATTTAGCAGCGCTGTCGCCGCGACCGCCGGCCAGGATGCCAAATTTGAGCTGTTCTGCGAAATGTGGCATACATTGCGAATGCAGCACATCTACTCGGCGCAAACGAACCACATCGAAGTGATCGAAACGACAATGGCCGCACTGCATGTAGCCAAGCGAGTTGCATGCGGCCGTCGCACCAACGGTGATGCATTTGCAGCGACGCGCGCCGAACGCATTGGCGCCATATATCTGCTGTATGCGATTTACAACAAGCAGCCGACCATGCGCTTTATCAAAATCGAGGTTTCCCCAAGCACCTGGCAATGCCTGACCGGCTATGTGGAGCAGCTGCGTCGAGTGGAAGCGGAACGAAGGGATACGCAGCAGGTGAGCTATGTATTCTGGCGACTGGTTCAAGATCAAGCGTTTCGCTATACAGCATTGGACTACTGTCAGGCATTGGATGCCCTGGCCGCATACGACAGCTTGGAGAGTTTTGCGGAATCTAAGAAAACCAAGAATAAAACGGCGCTCTTAAAGCACCAACTGACGCAGAGCGAAGCCAACATCAGAGAGGAGCTGCACAGCCTGGCGCAACTGGCGCATGCAGCGCAGTCCGCTTGCCAGTTGGAGACGGAATACAACAAACAAATGGAACCGCATCGTGCTTCGTTCCCGGCCACAAACATTTTCAGCCAGCTGTGCGACGCGTTTGTCGAGCTAAACGATCTGCTTGCGGACAAGGAAAAGCCGACAACCTCCTCCGTCTGCAGCTCGGATCAACAGAATGTGCGAAAGCGCATCCGCCAGAAAGCAATGTGGAATAATTCCGAAGAAACGCAACCCACAGTTGATGCGGAGCAAGAGGAAGAGGAGGAAAAGTCATCAACTGATCTATACGATCGACGCATGTCCGCGGCGACAGTCTTCAAGCGCAAATTGCCGGAGGATGTGATTAGAGACTTGGAATGCTGACTCTGATAATGGTGCGAAGGGTGACCTGATATTTAAAATTGTACAACAAAATAAACATAATATACGATAAAATAAAATAAATACGAAAGAAAAGACCTGATATTTAAAGATTACTATTTAAATAATAAAAAAAAAAATAATTTTATAATGAAATAAACATTATACAAAAAAAAATTGAAAGGTGATCTAATTTTCTACGCACAGATGTAATTTTATCAGTAAAACTTACCTGTGTCGTTTTCCCGCAGCCCGTTTCGCCTTTCAATATGACCACCGGATTTTCTTTGATGGCTTTCATAATCTGTTCGCGCTGCGCATAAATTGGCAGGGATCGATTGCGGTTTAAATCGAAATGATATTTCTCATAGAAAGCTTCGTCAGAGCGCACAGTGGGCGCTTCATTCAATTCCATTTTGTCATCATCATCGCTCTCCAGTTCATCGAGCGTTTTGGTCCTTTTGGTATTACTTGGCCCACCGACGAGCTATTTTTATATAATCAAAACACAGCTCGGATTACGAACAAACCCTCTATCTCACTCACACAAACACACACACACCAGTGCAAATGTGCCGTTACAGCAGAATTCATTTGTGTGGCTTACTTGGTTCATGAGCTGCTGCTCTTTTTGCACAATTTCATTGACATCTTTTGTGCCAATTATCTCTCGTTTGATCGGCTTTGAGTCGCTAGATTCTGACGTGTACGCATTGGGGTCACCACTTATACAGCCTCTTGGCAAAGTGCCACGCTTGAAATTCTTTGAAGAATCGAAAAAGTCCATTAAATCGTCCATGTTGAGCGAAATCCGCGCAAAACGCTAAGAATGAAATTTCCGTCTACTCGTTTCTTAGAAACGGTTTCAGCGCGCAACTGGTTAAACGATAAATGACTTTGTTTTATGCTGGCAACGCTTTTGTTTAATTGCGCATCTCTCAAGACTCCGGGTTTTAATTATAAGTACAGCGATTTGAGGAATTTCAGTAATATTATAACCACTAAATGCGATTTCAATTATAGTTTTTTTTAATGTATGCACACTATTAACTGCTTGATAAATTTAAGAACATCGATAGGTGGACGATAGGCGATCAATAACGATATTTTATTGATATATTCCAGAAAAATGAACTCAGTATCGAAACTGCTTCACACTGCTGCTGACGTTTAACAGTAAGACAGCGAGATATAAAACAACAAATTTTAATTCTAAGGGACAAAAAATATTCAACACTTGGGTCAAAATTATATAAACAAAGAAGCTGCCCAACAAGGAGCACACAAAATGACACGTAAGTGAACATAACTCGAACTGTGCGATTTACGATTTCTTTGTTGTTCGTTTGTTCATTGGGCATTTGGTGAGAGATGAGATATAAATCAGCTCCATCAAATCTATAAAATCCAAGGTAAAGGAAAACACTTAAATTAATTAAAAGCACAGTAAAAATAATATTTTGGGATGTGGCCTCATAAATAGATAGTGGAGCCAAGTTTTTATATACGTGCACCTGCAGCTGAGTAAATAGACGACATGTTTACTTCTAACCTACATTTCGCATGCTGATTTGGCCCAGTCTAGGGGCATGTGTAACTAGACTGGCGCAAGTTCAGATGCAGAGAAATATTACTTTATTATTATTATTAATTATTAATGGCATGCATGAAATATTTAATACGACGACAGGCGGCAATCAACGAGACCTGGCCCGCGCCAAGAACCAAAAGAAGCTGGCCGATCAGACCAAAGGCAAGCGAACCGATGACCTCACCGTGGAGCAACGTAAAGCCAGGTAAATATAAAATTGAAAACTAATATTAAAAACAACGCAAAAAATAACCATTTTCTCAATTGCACACTCAATTTGCAGGGACGCTGAACTGATGCGGGAGAAGCAAAAGAAAAAGGAACAAGATGCTGCAGCTGCTGCTGCTGCCAAAAGTAAATAGAGAAGTGGAAAAAGAGGTTTATTCCAGTTTACAGACATCCATCAGCTAGAAGAGCCAGCGTACACACAAATCCGTGCAGTCGTCGTAGGGTCACTCAAACAGTTTCGTTAGGCATAGGCAGATATATATATATATAAAGCAAACAAGATCACAGCACAAGCAACAGTCGCAATCCGGCGATCTACAAATCGATCGACTCCTGGATTAGTCAATGTAAATCAATTGGTTAAATTGCGCTACAAAAAAAAAAGTGAACGATTATCAATAGTTAGGCATCCCAACAGAAAAAGGCTCGTTTTCGTTAATGTTATGCAACACTGGTAAACAGTTTTCAATATGATTTCTCTATATTTACCTGACTAAATTATTTTCTGTGTGAAATATATAAATTTTCAAATAAAACATATGTAAAACAATATACAGCCAAAAACTACCAAAATATATGTCGCTAAATAATTGTGTATTGTAATTTTGTAATTTTGTACCTAAGTAAAACAATAGCTCTTAAATTGATATTAAGTGGTCGAGAGAGAAAATCGGATTGAAATTGCATACAAAAAAATAAACAAAGCAGATCTTATGTGTACCTTCGTATACCTTTTAAATACCTACCTTCTTATATTGTTGGGCTACACTTTTCGTCAGATAAGATATTCAAATATTTAGTCAGACTTTAAAGTTACTAATTAGATTGATTAATTTCCTACTGGGATTTATAAGCTTGTATTTTATATATAAGGTTTACTGGGTATCAGTTTGCTGAAGACCAGTCGATTTAGCTTGTCGATATGCATGCTTTAGGTATTTATACAATTATTTAATATTGAAATCATATGTTTTTTAAAATGTTCCCTTTCATACTCATACAAAATGCCTCCATGTTAAAAAGTAAGGCTCATTTTTAGCTAAACATTTTAAGAGCAAAGGAAACCTTTTACCTACATGACTTCAATAATAAATATAAAAAATATGCCTTTTTGCATTGCAATTCTCAAACAGAAAACAGCGTAGATTCGATAAAATTTTATGAGAAAATGATATAATTTATTTATTTATATTGATCAATTGTATACTAATTTTATGGAATGCAACATTTTATACCCGTTTTACGAGTACAGGGTATAAATAGAAAGACATTCACCATCAATGCACCTCGTTGAACTTTCCAGGCGATTTTCTTTTTCGACCTGATGCTAGCACAAATTTGCATACAATGGATAATTTGTAGGTCAGAGTAGAAAAAATAAAACAAGAAAAACGGTTGGCTTTGAGTTGACTTCACAAATACATTGATTGGGTATATTTGTATGTTGTTTATCGAGGAATGCAAACCAACTAATTTGTCAATATTAAAAAAGTAGTTATGAGAAATGGGAAACAACAGCGACATAAATAATTCAATAAATGTATTTATGAAAGTGGCAGCAAACTGGCCACAAACAGAAACTAGCCAGAGCCAAAAGGAATCCAACTGCCAATAAATTGAATCTAGCATTTACCATTTCTACGTACATAGGTGAAATGCCCAAAAGCAAAAAAAAAGATATATATATATATGCAGCTAACTGGCAAAGAGGCCAAGCTAACCAAAAATGGGCGACAGGCGAGCGTGTTGTGGCATCATATCTGTGGCGCGTATCTTAAATGACTACTCGCAGCCGCATGGATTCATGGGATGGATACGGATGCCAATGCCAATTCGGAGACTGGTAGTGGAACTGCAGCTAGCATTGACTCTGCTGTGGAGTGGAGAACATTTCTTGGAAATGACAACAACAACAGCAGCGATGATGACCAACTGCTGCTGCCCAAGTAATGAGCAACTTTTAATGATTTGTTCGGTTTGCTAGTGCAAAACGTTGTAACTGATATCGAGCAAAGCTAACAAGGGTCCCCCAATGTTAGTTTACTTCATTTGTTTGATAAGTTTGTGTAGCGCAAAAAAAAGAAAACAAACACAAAAACAATAACAGGTTTGTTAAATTAACAAGCTTGCAAAGCAGAGAAAGCTTCTCAGTGCCGAAAGCTTGAGCAACAACAAATAACCTTTTAGGTCTTAGAACTTTAGAAAACTTAATCAACGCAGTCGCTGTCCCCGTCGCTGTCGCCGTCGCTGTCGTCGTCGTCGTCAGCGTCGCAGCAGCCCAGCAGCAGCTAGCGGAGAGCGTTCACTGCTGCCTGCTGCCTGCTGCCAACGATCGCGACTCTCAAGTGTGACGCGCGTTTTCAGTCGCTACGTGAAACTCGCCGCAAACACAACGCAAAACGCGCGCCTCGAAACCGAGCCAAAAGTCGCGAGCAATCGAATTCTTTAAGAAACATTTAATTAATTTGCATTGAGAAAAAACAACAGCAAAAAAAATAAATAAATAAATACGAAAAAAATAGTTGTACTGTGCGTCAAAGTAGAAAGTGTAAGTGAAATTGGCAAACTGCCGACATATTGATGGAAAGAAATGTTAATGCAAATGCCAAGTGTCTGCTGACATTATCAACAAATCAAATTGGCAAACAAACGAATGCAACTGCAATTTGAATTTTGTGTCGGGGCAGCATGTCGATCGACTGATTGAGATTGAACGCAAAATGCAAATCGAGTGATAAACGATCGCCGCGAAATTGAAATAACAGGCGTGCAGCTTTTTAGCTGGCAGAGGAGCAGCTAGCCGACTTCCCAGTTCCCCAAAAGCTCACCCCTCCCCCCACAAGTCTGAGGCGATCTGCCGTTAGCAGTCACAATTCGCAGTCGCAGCCGCAGTCGTGTGTTGCTTTATTATTATTATTTTTTTATATACAAAATATATTCAATTTCATTCAGCTGTCGTTGGCGTTGTTGTCGCTGTTGTTGTTGTTGTTGTTGCTTTCAATATTCAAATGATGATCATCACCACTTGACTACGACGACTGCGTCTCAAAGCTCAGCAAATTTCTGACACCCCAACACCCCAAAGCCAATTATGATTAATATGCTAAACAAAACAAAGGAGGAGCCAACAATTAAACATAACAGCTACTGTTTGTTTTGACTATCCGTTTTTGGGATATGATCGCATAGCCTTCTTACTTACATATTGAGCACATATCCAACGGCTGCTGACCCAATTTGTTGACGGCATTGATGAAAAATTACGAGCAAAACAAAACGCTTGTTTGTTTTTTTTTTTACATTTTTTGCAATTGCGTTGTATACAGACATGTCTACTCCATACATATACTTATATATATGTATATAAGTCATTCCTTAGCTGGTTGCTCCGTTGCACATTCACCGGCATGATGTCAGCTTCATCATCTGTTGACATTGAATTTGCAAAGTTGAATTTGTATTTTCACTTTTTGGGCAGACGAAGTGCAAATAAAACAATTGCTTAAACCACATTTTCGAATCTACAAAATAATAAACCCAATCAATTCACTCGAGTAGAACATTTTGACACACTTGACTGCGTGGCCATTACGTATACGTAATATGCGCATAAATCATAATTTTTTTTGGGCCAAAACGAACAGAACAAAAGAGCAACAAACGATCGACGGTCTACTTTTTAGCCATGTCAGTCAGCGATGCCCAATAAAAATCACATTCAAGCCCAATTTGAGGTGACGAGCTCAGAATAAAGTTGAGCCAATTATTAAACATGCTTTTCAAGCACCTGTTTCGTATGTGCTGAATATTTCATATGTATGATTGCTGCTAAGGATACAAGCTTAATATTTATTTATATATAATTGTGATCAGCATTCGTACAGCCGATTTTGGTCACTAGAAACGCCTCATTGAGTTCCCTATGGAGTTCAATGACGCATTGACATTAAGACTAATTAACAATGAATAAAACTCAAGAGCACAGTTTTCTGCTAAGAACAGAACATGTACATATGTATATATATACTCAGAAAAAAATCGTAACGAAAGTGGATAAGTTGATTCAGCTTATTATTCAGAAGTTATATTTCTAAAAGGAGAAAATTGTACCTTTCTAACCTTTCTCATAGATATGCCTAATTTCTATGCTGTTATTTTTATATTTGTATAAGGAACTCAAATATTACCTTTTTTAATTTTATTATAAAATATAAATTCAAAGACAACGCAGAAAACTTTTCTAGATTTTAAGGCAATATTTTTTGAAAGTGTATATACTCCAAAAGTGCCCAAGAATTTTGCAGTGCTCTTATCAAGTAAATGTTTCTTTGGAATTTGTGCGAAACAAATTTAACACAAAAATATATGCATATATTTTAAATGATAAATGTTTTAAGAATGTTATCAAAAAGACTAAATATATTTAATTAGAACTTTTAATCTTATAGCGTGTGAATATACCCGAATCGAACTTTAAATTTAAAGAGTATGTCGTCAAAATGCCAAAAAGAAAGAGCAACAAAACGTGAAGGTTAAAATTTACAAGGCAATCAGGCAGTCGGCAATAAGATAAAATAGCAGAATACTAAATGGAATACATTTCTAGAAAAATGTTCTAGTGCCATAAATGAGGCAGTCACACACACCTACGTACGCCACAGTGGGCGTTAAATGTGGCACAGTGGGATGCAAACATCTTGTAAGGGATATACATAGATAGATACATATTAGGGTTAAAGGGGCGATCAAATATTTAAGTGTTTGCATTGATTTTGGTTTTGCTGTTTGTTTATCGACACAGTAAAAATAGTTGTTAACAACATTTAAGAATTTTTATATCACCTTGCATAAAATAATTCCATTTAATTACACCTCTCAGTTAGCTGACCGTCCGAGTCAAACAAAGTCCGGCAAAAAGCATATTTAGATTTCTAGATATGAGAGCACAACTCTCGCGACCTTGTTGTCTATTTATAAACAATTTTGTATTTGTGCGTTTTGTTTGTTACTCAAATGAATCATTTTGATGGCAAATTTTGTTTTTTTTTATGATTTTCTCACTTTCGCTTTGCCGAAAGGAAAATCCAAGCGAACTAAATGCGATTTAGTTGTTGAACGCGTTCAATGTCTGTTCCATGACCATGAGGCTGTTGACAGTGGACTCTGACGATATGCATCACATAAACTAGATTAGAATTGAATGTAGAATAGAGCAAAAGATAGTATCTCAAAGATAAATGGCGCCATGTGCGTGAGCTAAAAGTTGAAAATTGCGAAAGCATTCAATGAGAAAAAAGCGTCCATTCACCCAGCAACTTCAAAGGCGGCAATTGAGCGTTGCAGCTGCAACAACATTAATTGATTTATACTTGTGGCATTTACCAACTCAAGTGATTGAAAGCCGTGGCAAAACCAACAGCAACAACAAGCGGAAAGACTAACAAACAATAAACGTATATAGCAAATTTTATCATTCCCAAAAGCCAAACGCAAAAAACAAGTATGAATGCTGCAGGCGAGGTAGCCCGACTATGAGATACCTAAAGCACACCTGTTAAATATATACATATAAATATAGATAAATATATTTTTTATTATTTAATTAAATACTTGAGTACTTCAGCTACAAAGGTCTGCGATTCCTTATTGTGTTTGTTTCGAAGGCATCAATAAGCTTCTACAGCTTCTGGTCAATAAAATTAATAAACACAATCTTGATGAAAATCACTAATATGTCAAGGTAAATCGGAAATCGATATATATCAATTTCTGCGAAACGGGGGCATCTACCTATAAAATTAAATAAACGTGATCTGCTAATGGTAAACGAGAATTTCAACTCCACATTTGAAGTCAGACGGACATGGCTATATCATTTCGCCTCTTGACTTGCATAAAGAATCGGAGTTGCTTCCTTATGCCTGTTATATACTTTTGCACAAAGCTATTATACCCTTTTTAAACGTTTTGAATGGGTTCAGTGAATAAAACAAACAGTCTCAATTCAAGTTTTTGTAAAAGCAGCGTGCTTTAAACTCGTCAAATTTGGTAGAACGATTTTTGACCGGTTTGTCCGAGCTCAGCGTATGGAGACATGTGCTCCCACTAGCCAGATCAGATCACAGCTCGCACTGATCACAGATTGAGTAATTTTCAGCTACAACAAAAGAGACAATAAGCTTTTGTAAAACTACTTTTTGTTGTTGTTTTTTTCTGCCGCGCCAAAAGTAGCACAAAAAATGTCAAATTTAATTACGCGTCGATGCGCAAACAAATTGTATGAAACAAGAGTTTAGCAAAGATTCAATTCACTCAACAAAGAGAGCTGTAAACAATTGGCGCCCGGCACACGATAAGTGCTCAAAGCCTGAATGATAAATGTGAGATATAATAATGCAGGTATCTGAAAGATACAAAACCTGAACACGTGCTCGCTGCACAAACAAATTGCCTTTGCCTCTGGCCTGTTGAAGTGGGCAACTTTTGACGCCCTCGCAATTGGATTTTGGGTTTTTTGTTTTCGGTTTTCTTGTCTTTGCCCGCTTAATTTCAAAAATCAGATTAGTTGGCATGATTTATATTGACAATATTTCCAATATGACTGCGGTTAGTCTTTGTTTATTCGTTAGGCAAATAGGTCATGATTTGATTCATATACGTATTATTATAAGAAATGCCTTTGTTTTGTTACAATTTTTAAAGTGTCAACATGTTGGTTGGTTTTTGAATTATGGCTCAACATACGCGTATAACTTAACTTTGAGTCACAAATGAACATACTTAATAAAAATTGTTTTTTTTTTTTATAATTTAGCTGATTTATTGCTATTTAGTATGCTGGAAATTTGATTGAATCATCCTTTCAAGCTTTATTTTTAAACAGTCATTATTACTGCAAAGATATGCGTCATGTGAAAAATCATGTCATTAAACCCTAAACACATTAAAACTGGGAAATGTATATTGAAGTTGTGCAAAAGTATGTAACAAGCAGAAGGAAGAATCTCAGACTCAATAAAAAAAAAACATATTTTCTTGATCAGCATCAAAAGCCAAGTTGATAAGCCATGTTCTTATAAGTAAAAGATAAATTTGGAATATAAGTTCTCGTATACCATAGACAGATCAGTCTTATTTCATTTGCTCGATAATTGTGCACGTTTCAAAAATATCGATATAAATCGATTTTTGATAACAACAAATGATACTTATATATTCCAATTAATATATAATATACCTTATTATATTATTGATCAACTGTAACAGATTCATTAAGATCGCATTAGAAACACAGATTAATACATAATTTCATCTTGTAAATGTTGATGTCAGCAAGCTTGCTATATATTAATAGCTCAGTTAGGGTTCAAGGTATCTTCTAATCGGGTTGTCTTGTCAAAAACAGCTTGTTGAGTATATGGTAATCTTATTAGTCATTGTAGGTGAGGTCGTTTAATCAAAATAAAAGTTTTTTCTTTGAAATCACTCAACTACAAGATCCGATTGAAAAATACATAATTAGAGTTGACAATTAAAAATAATTTATTTGGGAAATCGTTGTTGTCATTTTAAACTTTAGTTCTCCCGTATAAAATTAAGAAATGAAATTCACAACTCAATTGTTGAATATGTTAATTTATTAATGTGTACCCTGAGTTGTTGGCGATAAAAAGTGAAAATTAACGACAGCTGCCTTCATAAAGGTATCTTTCCATCAGTTCACACAAAAGCTTAATTATTTCGGTAGCTGCATAATCTGAAAAGTCTCAAATATTTCCCTTTGCACTCACGTCCAAATTCAAGTTAACTTGGGATTTTTTTCAGTATTTTTATCTGGCGAACCTTTCACAAATTTCAACATTTAACGGTGTTTTCGCTGCGGCTGCTCAAAACGGCGCCCACACACATGCATGCAACACGCTGCAATGACAATCGCAACCAGTTGCACTTGACAAACACAAACACTTTCCAACTGGAGCCCACACATAATGATCGCATCGACTGACCGCCAGACGGAAATTCTTCAGAGAAGTCGCTAGCGAGACGCGTTCATATCGCGCGCGCTTTTGTCCGCCCACGAATTCGCTTGAACTTGACTCAGAGCTTTTTTTCTCACTTTTATTTGTGAGCTGTTTATGACCAAAGCACATGGCAATTGTATGCAAGCGGAAGTTAACGTCATCATTAGATATTAATGTGGTTATTACATGGCCCATTGGCTATTGGTTTTCAGCTGGCACTGGCCAAGAGAACAGCTTTAAACGTTGTGTGCGTGTCACATTCGAGGGCACTTAGTCGAGCAGACACCCACACAGATACATACGTATACGTGGCATAGTTGGCATTCCACTATTGCATTGAATGTGGGTTGCCTCACAGTGCCAAGCTAATTGGCCGCATCGAGGGCTTCAAGTGTTGTACAGACTTTGTTGCCACACTCAGAGCAATCTCTTGCCACACAGGCGGCCGGCCTATCATATGACAATAGATATGAACAACTTATGCGTTTTTTTTTTGTGTAACTGGAGAGGGAAGACCTAGATGTTCTGCGGCTAAACTGCGCAGCTAGTTTTCAATTTATTCACGATATTACACACAACTTCTGAAAGACGCGAGCGAAACGCGTCCAAAACGCGCCATATGTTTGCTTAAATTCAAAGCCCGCTCACCGATCTCACTTCAAAAAATGTACATGTTTCTGTGTGTGTGTGTGTGTGTGTGTTTGCCAAGCTAAAGCACAACGTGCTTGAGTAGTACTCATTAAAACGTTTACTCTCCTATTCTATTCTATTCCATTCTATTCTACTATACTGCTGCCCCTGTGCTCAGCTCCCCCTCCCCGCTACCCACATTAATTGCGTAATTTGTTTAGTGTGTTTGTTGCCTTTGTTCCAAGATTCAAGATTCTTTTTCACATCTTTGCTAAGCGCTTTTTTGCTTTGTGCAATTTTTATTTGTATAACGGTTTCAAATAGAAGGAAATAACTTGCAACAATTCTAATTGAGCTATGTACACTTCAAAGTCAACAATGCTTGTATACTATTTTTTATGTTTCTATAGAATTAAAAAAGTTGATGCCTATGCAAAATCACATTTTAGTTTTCTTTCACAAATTTCCCTTGGCAGCGTATTAAATAGTCCAGAAACAACTTCCTCTTTTGTTAGTTGAGTTTTTGTTTATACAGTTTAAGCTTTGTTTTGATATTTTTTTTTGTATTGTTTTTTTGTGAGGTGCGAACAAATTTAGACGCAACGGAAATTTGCTTTGTTTAACGACCGGCCATAAAAAGCGATTTTTACAGATATTCAACTGCAAAAGAAGCGAAGTTAAATTTCTTGAATGTGATTTTTGGGATTTGGCGACTGTTGTAAAGTGTTTCCCATGTTTGACAAGACATTTTGGCGTGTGATTATCTCATCAGCGTCGCATTGCCCCAGGCCCAAACTTGTTAGCCAGCACGATCGAGCTGTATATGCATCCGATAGATAGATAGATACAAACCGGCTGAATTTGCATGTGCCAACATTAAATTGGAGCTGCGCCGTTGTCGGCGTTGCATGTTAAGCGATTGATTAATTTAATGACAATGCCCGTAGGCAGCATGCGATGGGGCATAGCTTACATGTGTGTGTAACTGTGTATGTGTATTAGTGTGTGTGTATGTGTGTGTGTGTGTTCCTCGTGTGGATGATATCAGCTTTCGAAACTGCTGCAAGGAAATTGGCGCTGTTCAATTGATTAAACTAAGTAATTTCGAACATGTTTCCTCGAAAAACAAAAAAAAAACAACAACAATAAACATTGTAAGCGCTGCTCAGCTGATGTTGATGATTCGATTCGCTGATTTATTTCATAGCTATATTTAACAATCTGATGTACAAACTCACCTATCCATATGCATAAATGTATATTTATTTAGTGTGTGTGTGGCAAAATCAAATTTGAATATTTCGCTTTTGCGATTGTGTTTTTTCTTCTTCTAATTTTAAACGAAATTTGTTTTATAAACAATTTGACGCTGACCAAATGTTCGAACGCTGGTTGACGTCACAGAAATCAGTTTTTCTTTACCTTTAGCCACAGCCAACGGAGTCAAGGTGGGCAAAACACACGTATAGACATCTAAGCAGTAGTTGCTCCACTGGCATCACAGATTACATAATCTCAGTGCCACAACAAATAGTGAACTGTTAATCCATCTAAAAATTGCAACACTACCTCATTGTCTTATAAGATGCCAGCAGGCAGGATAACGATAATGTCAGCCACAGAATGTATAAATAATGTGTCTTAAAGTAACTAAGATTTGCTGAACAAAGTGAAATGAAATGTAGAAAATAAGTCTTACATACGCTCAGAAAAAATTTGCTTTGCTTTTGGTGCCAATAATAACTCATCTTATTATTCAGAAATCATGTTTCTAAAGAGTCTTTCTAAAAATGCTTAATTCCAGGGCACCATTTTCTAATATATCTAATTTCCAAGATGTTTTTTAATAAGTGTATCATTAGCTTTTTTGTTAGTTTTATTATTATTAAATATTATAATTAAAAATTTAAGATTGCGTTTTTTATTCAATTATATAAATGTATAGGAATTGTTAAGTGTTTACATATATATTTCTCAAAATCTCTTTCTTCTAAAAATAATCTCTTGAATGCTATTTTGAAAATCTTCTTTATTTTGCTACTACACTTTATATATTATATTAATAAATTTTCTTAATTTATTTCCAGCTATAAATCTCATACAAAATGCCGAAACCACTAGTTGGCTCCTGCTGCCTGTGCCAGTCGACAAGGAATGGATCTGTTATATCCGGCGTTTTGGCCATTATACTATCCATAGTCACGATAATTGTGATATTCACGACGCGTGTGCATTTCAAGACAATTATCTTTGACTTTATACCAAATGATATTGTTAAAATCATACTCGTGATAAATCTATGCATGACGATATTAATTTCATTGCTCATGATTGTTGGTGTGCTCAAGGTATAGTAGCATAAGTCTGCTATAATCGCCAACTGCAGTTAAACATATATATTTAAATTGATATTTATAGCGTAATCATTATCTGATGGTTCCTTGGGTGGTGCTGGGCATTATGATTGCCATTGGCCTGTTGATTTCTGTAATCTACACTGGAGTCGTCTTCTTCATCGATGGCTTCGTGCTAACGGGCGTTCTCTGGCTGATCTTCGGGCTGATCTGTTGTGGTAAGTGCACATTCAGCACTCATGCCGCAAATGGTGGCTTCTACTTGTGTGGTTTTTAGCACCGGATGGCGTTTTATGCCACTGGTGAATAGTTTATTGACGCATTTATCATGCGTCGATTACCTGCATGCTGAAAGCAAAGGGGGCAGCTGGGGCTCAATTCAGTCTGCGGATAAATGAGGCGCGAAGTGCTTGCCACGCAATTAGTTTGGCTGCCAAATGGCAAAAATAATAAATGGCCACATGAGGCACAACAGTTGTCATTCGTATATGAAGAACACGCTTTTACCGGTCATTTTAAAGTTATTGCAAATACATTTGTGAAATCTTTTTATAATAATACTCAGAATTATTATTATTTTGTATAGGATATAAGATTAAGTTGAACACCTTTCTCTTTTGTGCCAAGTTTAGCAATATAATTTTAACAATTCATTTTACTTCCGTAGATTGTTTTTTATGAATTTGAACTTTTTGAATAATTTTAAGCTACTGTTTCGAGGAACAGATGAATTTTTTAAATATTTGTTAATGAATTTGATCTTATTAATGGAGTTCACACAAATATATATTTTTTATAGTTTATTGTTTGGCGAGCTATCTTTATAATTTAAATATAATAAATTATTTTTTTTTAAGCAAAGAATTTTTTTAGTGCATGTGACCAATGCTCTGCATTATATGCAATTATTTGAAAACTCAGTTTCTTGTTTACTGTGCATGCCTAAAAGTATGCTATACTTTTGTGTAATCCATAGCAAATCTTGGTACGTTTCTCAGCCAATAACAAATGAGTAATTTTGTAGGCAATTAAGTGAAAAATTTAACATTCATACATATATATATATTATAATGGCCTGGGGCTTAAGCCCCTACATTTTAAATTATAAACATATGTTTTTAAATATTTTAAAAATTGTGTCATATCAGTTGAAAGGCATTTTATTTGACTATTAACGCACTTGTAGAGTGAACGAATTATGAGTCAGCAACGCCCACAAATCCTAAAACAAGCTGTTGCCAATCTCTTCTCATAGCTTAGTTATATTTATCGTATTAATATTTCTGTTTATCTTTTCACAGCTGTACTCACATATTGCTGGTGTGTCGTCTACAGCGAGTACGCAAATCTAGCCGAGGAGAGCGAACGTGGACGTTACAACAAGCAACCCTATCGTCGTTGATCAATTGCCAGTACAAGTATATATATATATATATATATTTATATTTATATATATGTATATGGCCGGTTTTACTCACATCATCGATTCACGGCTTAGATAGCATACACTTATATGTACATCTTATCTGTTAGTTGATAATACTAAAACTGCTTATGTTCGTAATTAGCTCATATATTTAACTAATAATTGTAATTTAATTATTTAAAAAAGATACGAATACTAAAGGTTAAGTAAATTAATTTGATGGGGCCCCGTCGCAAGTGCAATCGAATTACTTAACAATTCAATTTCTATCACTGTCCAATTATGTTTTTTGTAATTTGTTTGTAACTTCTGTATCGAAAGAATAATATTTTTAACACGTACAAAAATAAAACAAATATGAAAAACTTAGTGTGTTCGAGGTCATTGTGGGTTTATTGTGCTACTTCTCTCACAAATATGTTTTTTATTTCAAAATATATATATATTTATTTCTCTCAAAGTCTATCAAAATTGTAAATTAACTAAAATATATATATATATGTTTATATATATATACATATATATGTGTATGTGGGTGTGATTTATTATTGAGTGGGCGTGTGGTTTGTCTTGTAAAGAGCTAGGTGTTTGTTTGTTTGTTTACAGTTCACTGCGTGTATATTTGGGCTTCAGCTCCTCGATGCGCTTAATAAAGTCGGATTTCTCCAGACAACCCTCGCAGTTCTCATCCCAGTCGTTAAGGATCTTTTTCAGATCGCGTACTTTCAGTTTCTTAAGATCCACATTATTCAAATCAATTTGTTTATCTACAAAACGAAAGTCAGTTTAATAAAATTAATTAAAATATTAATGACCTTAAATTAATTATTTAAACAAGGACATACCATAACGCAAATCGCAAATTTGGGCATCCATCTTCTTCAGTTTCTCGCACACTTTCTCCGCTGGCATCGACCAGCTCAGGGGCTTGCTCAGCTCATTCAATATGCCAGTGGCCGACTCCTCAAGACCGCCCAGGTAATAGCACTACGTGGTAGGAACAAACACACACACACATATATAAATGTACATACGTGTTTTTTTTGTTGTAGTTTGATTTGATTAGACACAACCTGTTTGCCGGCAATTTGGCCTTGGGCTACTTACGAATCTTTGCTCCTTGTTTTTCTGTGTCTTGCAGAATTTCTTAAAGTCTGCTTCGATTAATTTGTAATCCTTTTTCGTGGCATCGTCCAGTGTGTCAGCAAAGCGTCTCACAGTCTTTACACAAACTGCAATTGCATTGAGTGAAAATCTATTCGACAAACATTTTATACTTACGTGGCCATTGTCGGCACACAAATTATAGCTAGCTCAATGCTCACCTTCGCAATCGTCTTCCTTGAGCGCCAGTGCCGTCTGTGCGACGCCCACAACTAAGCAGAACATGAGGACAATTTGTGACGTGTTCATTTTGCAGCCGTTGCCGAATGGTTTGATTTAATATTATATATAATTTAGTTGTTGGTTGATGCCCACGTTAGCCTGCCTGACAGCCAACTTGTTAGCTTGACTTGTGTTCTAACAGTGTGACCAGTTTGTCAAACCGCAAAAACACCACACGTTTTCACAAAAAATACTAAGTCAATTTAAAAGAAATCGACATGCAAAGTATACATATTTGAAAACAAACTATTTGAAAAATAATTATTAAGCTAATTTATGAATCGGATTTGTGTAATACTTAAGCCGAAATAAAAATAAATGTATGACGAAATATTATTATTATTATATTAATTTTAAATATTGTTATATGTTACTGACCGACCAACAATGTTGGCGACCAACAATGTTTCTTATGTTTATTTTTTTAAGAATTTTCGTATTTCTGTTGTTTTTTTTAATTATTTATAAATAAAATTAGTAATAAGTTGTTGAAATCATATTGAGTATAAAGGAAATTTTTTAATTCAAACCCACCCAAAAGTATGCTACAAGAATTACAAGCTCGTTTCGGTCTGTAAATGTATGAAACAAATTGTTTTTTTTTTGATGATTTTTTCTGGATGTCATTTAGTTGGAAGTACAGCACACATTGTTAATGGCCTTATAAACGTAGGTGTTGTATGCAATTACAAGACGCTCAACCAAAGCGCTGACTTCCAATTAAATGTAATCGATTAATCATCTAACAGTCTACATATTTAAATTGAAGTATTCGATTAATTTTTTTAAATTTATGATTGATAACATTTTGTAAATAAGTGTAAGGAACATGTTAAAAATTACTTAAACTTTAACTTAAGCAAATTATATTATATTAATGAACGTAATTAAAGAACGTAATGTTATTTAAAAAAATTGTTCAATTAATTTTATTATTCTTTTTAGGGAAGAGAAAGGTTTAACAGATTTCAGGAAATATATTCCCTCTGCATATATCAGCAGTTTTACATATTTTCACTGCAGTTTTATAACTGACTCTACACGCTCTGTATTGGAATTTTATTTCCAATAAAATCATTATTATATGTAAAAACAAATTTTTCAATTTAGTTCAATATTTATATTAAATTTGTGTGAACTTAGCTGCTTAAGTGGACCATCCCCGTAAGTGGTTTAATTTGGCGAACATTAACTGTTTGAACTTGAATTTAAAAAAAACCTTGAAACGTGAACTTCTCGTTTTTTTTTTTTCAGCCCGACATATTTTGACGTCGGTTGAAGTGTTATAAGTTAAGTGGTATGTCCTTGCTGCGTATTTTTATTATATTTGGGTTATTTCTTTACAATTTATGCTTTAAAACTAAAACTGACAGTAAGGTCAGGCAAAGTAAAGACGGCAAACATGCATATTTATAAGTGTTGTCCATTAATGAGACCAGTCAGGCTTAAGGAACAACGCGTCTGACAGCAAGTTGACTGTATTTGTCAGCCATTTAATTGGCTGAGATTTAATTATGCGCTCACTCGCCAAAAGTATCAACTGACGCCTTGAATATGCAAATGAATTCGCGGTAAACGTTTATTGCTTGATATAAATTTAAGCAGCTGCCCGACAATGGCCATGACTTTATCTTGGCCTTATCATTATCAGCGCAGCCACAGCTAACGAATTGTATGCCAGTAGCTCTCAGAATCTGTGCAGATGAGAATGAGTTTCTGCTCATTTTATTAATATGCAGCCGAGCGTTGATTTTAATTAGTCAATGGATTTATGCTTAAAATAAACCAACACAACAACAGCAAAAATAACACGCAAAATTTAATAATAAAGAAAACTACTCACTTGTATATAGGCGTTATAAAAAAATTGGAGAGTGTCGTTTTAGTAAATATCCATTAAAAATGTACACAACATGGCATCAACGGCATCGCACTGAAGGTGCTACTTACGCTGTTAGTACGCCTGGAGTAGCCCTTTAAGTTCATAATTACGACAAGGACAAGGCGACAAAAGTGGCATGCCAAAGAAAAGTCCCTGAAGCCTTGCCAGACAGATGAAAGTCACTCTCAATTTCCCCCCAAGTGCTCTCTTCATCCATCAGCGTTAAAAATTAAGCAAACAAAAAAAAAAATATATATAAAAAATAACAACATTCCTGTCAAGGCACTCAACGCATTAATTTTTGTGAGGGCTAAATATTACTGCATCGGACACAGAGTAGCAAATTGCAATCTGTTCCTTTTATTTATTTTTTATTACTTGGTAGTGAGTGGAAAAATATAGTGCAGGCTTGCACTTTGTGGAAAGTCTGTCAGTGTTGTGTTTTGGCATCGTTTTTTATTATTACTGTCTAGCATTGAACTTAATTATTATAGTATGTGCGATTCTCCTTAATGAAACTTTTATAAATGTATAATCAATAATTTGTAAGTGTACTCACAGTTTCGCTGTTGATCATATATTGCTTGCATTACCGCGCCTCATTAATCAAAAGTAATTTGCCGGCTCTTCACAAGGCCGGTCAGTTACCTGCCAACTAAGATGGGGAAAATGTCAGCGGTAGTAAAAATGTCCGCCATTTTGCGTCGCGAACGGAAATGAGAAGTCTCTTCGTCGTTCGCTCCATGTAAATGCGTATACGTTTGTGTGTGTGTGTGTGTGTGTGGGTGTGTGTGTGTGTTGCTAATTAACTGTTTTACATTAAGTGACCATAAAGGCAGAGGCTGCTGAGCATTTTAGTCTATTTTAATGTGGCCACACAAATGGCAGGCGTGATCGGTTTGGACAATGAGCAGCAGCAGCAGCAGTAGCATTAACAATTGCCCATTAGTTGGTTGTCGTTTTGGGTCTGTTCTGGAACTTAAATGATTTACGAACGCTTTAAAGACCGACCATGAAAGTGCTGAAACTGTTGGCCTGTCTTTCTCCTCATATCTCTCTCTCTCTCTCTCTCTCTCTCTATCCATTTCTCTTTTGTATTTTATTTAATTAAATACTTTACTTTGGTCTTTGGCAGGGCTGGATGGAATGGTTAATGCGGTCTTCGTTCTGCATAAATTGTGGCAAACTCATTTGCTTTAAATTATTTGTGGCTAGTATTTCTTGCTACTAGGTCAAATGACTGAAGCATACGCTAAACCTGGAAATTGGTCAAGTAGTTAAGCCTGCAGCTGACCGAGTACTATTGGCCCTTAGATTTATATACTTGTGCCTGGTCCTTTTGTGCTCTAAAGTAAATCAAAATCTACAGCAAATTACTAGTTGGCAGCTTGTGTGGCAATTGGCCAGAAACTTTCAGCACAATTTTCAGCAGGTGTTCTATGCGGCACGCCCACAAATCACAAACCAATGACGGCTAATTAGAGTGAAAAATAACAGCAATGCCTCAAAAGTGTAACAATGACTTTTCCACAAAGAATTCTGAACTATTTCAAGCTCTCCGCTCATACTGCTTCTGGCTGAATCCAGTTCGTCTTTGTTCTAACTTATCAAGCGTAAGTGGCGGAAAACTTTTGGTCCACACAGTAACAAAATGTTTGTTTAAAAATCATTTTCTAATGGTCTTTTTATGTAACAACTCAAATCAAAAATTGGGTTTATAAATGTTTGAGTGAATTTAAACTGCAAAATAATTCAAAAAATAATAAATAAACATAGAAAACAATGATTTTTTTCAACTTACAAATAAAAAGAGTATAAAATTAATTCAGAGATTTAAAAATGTTAGTTTAAAAAATTGGTTAGGATTTTTTTGACTTGAAATTGAATGATAATAAATTTTTTTTTAAAGTGCATTCTGTTGTAGAGCTTCCTTCGGGTGGCACAATTTAAAAGAAGATTACACCGCAAACTGCTTTGGTCGCCATGTGCACTACTGTGCCGCTTCCCCTTGGCAATATCAAAAGACGCCAGAGTTAAAAACTTTGCAGCCGCCCAAGGGACACGTAGCACCCACTAACACTGGCGGGACGATGGCGATTTCTCTGGCGACACTTGTCGAAAGTTGCGCGTAATTACGACTATGTGCGGCAAATAGCAGTGAGCAAGTGTTGGTGGAGCTACAGTTTTGCGGGGGGTCTTGGGTGCGTGGTAGTCAGTCAAAGAGACACCATGCTGCGGGCTTTGCTTTAGTTTATGGGCCCTCGATGCCCTGCAATAAAGTTGCTGTTTGGGTTCTCCGCTAGTGTTTGTGTTCATATAAAAACAGAATCCATCAACGCTTGCATTTAATAAAGTATAGAAAATGCCAGCTCAATAGTTTAAGCATAGTAGAGCATTATGTCTAATTACTGAGTTAGTTTAGATATCAACTTTAGCAGTGAAATACAAAAATAATATTAAAAATAAGATAATTATGTAAAATAAAAAAAAAAGATCTCAGATAGTTAATAATATCGAATTGCAGTTAGTTAGTCAAAATTCCATGGTAGAGCATATGAGCATAGTAAGGATATCTGGAGAAGTTCTTGGATGCAGACTATCTTTAGGGTGAGCTTGAATGTGAGTTAGGCAGATAAATATTCAAATTAACATTAATCATCATTAAAAAAGAATACAAAAAGATCTCAAATATCAAGTTTCTGTAACATTTCCTCTGTCAGCCTGTATAATTTGTACATTTTTCGTAGCTAACTTTTGATTTGTGTGCATCTGAAGCGCATTCAGCTGTCATCGCAGCCTGCTTCCTTTCGAATAAGTCGAGACAATCGCAAAGTGTCGCCACAGAAAACTTTTGCTTGGGCTGCGTTGATTTTGAGTCTCAAATTGTTTGGCCGTTGTTTGACGTTGCGGCTTTTGGTCTATGGCCATTGTTAGACATACACATCTAGCGAGAGGCACTTTATTACAAATTTAAAGAATTTCCATATATTAGGCAGCAGGAGCAATGACACTGGACAGCATTAATGTGGTTTTAATATAATGAAGCAACACTTAAATGACGACTCACTCGAACAGACAATGAATGAACGACTGAACGAATGAGACAATGAGCCGTGCTATGAATCCGCAGACCATCAATCAATGTGTTTGGTATGAAAACTATAATAAAATCATTAGTCTGGTAATCCCCGAACGTTTTGCAACCGAAATCAAAATAAAATCATCAGGCCAGAAAT